CCCCCCAAAACAAACCAAAAAGAAGTGCTCCGATTGTGGGAAGCCCCCACTTCCAACTGCTTCTGAGCTAGGGAATCAAGGTTTTGGGCCTTAAGGGTGTTGGGACTCAAGGGTTCAGGGTTTAGGGTTTAGGGTTTAGGGTTTCGGGTTTGGGGTTTAGGGTTTAGGGTTTCGGGTTTAGGGTTTAGGGTTTAGGGTTTAGGGTTTAGGGTGTGTAGAAGGGAAGCTCGCTGGTGCTAAAAGCACCCGGGCCGCTCGCTTGCGTTAGCATGTAGTCCCACCCCAACCACCCAAACTATTCTCATTTAGGGTTTAGGGTTCACCCCCCAAACCCCCCTCAAGGGGGGCTTTCTTACTTTTTGCAGAGAAAGAGCAGGGTGGGGTCTCCCGAGCTTCATGGAGCCTGTCAGTGGCTCGTAGACTTTTTGGAGCTTTCACGTGCCCAAAACCATCAATTGCAATACTAAAAACCCACATTTCAGGCTTGGAAGAGCAGCAAACACGGTAGGGGGTAGCAGGGGCCTCGGCCGGCCCCTGCTTTTCGATGCTAAAAAATCCACGCAGGAAGGTTCCAGGTCTCAGGATGGTTTGGCCTCTTGACGGTCGCGCCCGTCACGGTCCCGGAAAGCGATCCCAAGAACGTCAAGGGAGTCCCAGGGTCCCTGGAATCTAGCCTGGACGGGGTCCCAGCAAGGTGTGTCAGGGGCAGGGGGGGTCCCAGATGTCCCAGAAAAATTCCAAAAGGTCCCAGGGCGGTCCCAGAGTCCCAGGCCAACTGTCCCAGGCATTTTAGGGTCCCAGGGATTTGAAGGGTTGTTTTAGAAATTCCCAGGGGCGTCCCAGGGAGGTCCGGGGGGATCCCAGGAAGGTCCCAGGGGGTTCAGGGGGTGTCAGGTTTGTGCCAGTCTTTCGAAAGGACGTTTTTGGGCAGGTCGCCCCCTGGACCGGCCGGGCGGAGGGGGGGGTCCCTGGAATCTGCCAGCCTGGGACCCCAGGCCCCCATGGGGGGGGTACCCCCAGACCCCCCAAAAAACACCAAAAGACGCCAATGGCTCGGGGTTGGGGGTTCCTAATTATATTAGGGCTGACGCCCTAGGTCTGAGGCGTAGCCAGTCACTGCCGTCTCGTCTACCGGGCACCGTTCTGTGGAGACGCTCGGTCGGGGACCTCGGTCGAAGCCTCGAGCGCCCATGCAAATGGACAGCGGCGCTCTCGGCAGTTTAGGGTTTAGGGTTTAGGGTTTAGGGTTAGGGTTTAGGGTTTAGGGTTTAGGGCTTTGGGTTTAGGGTTTAGGGTTTAGGGAACCCTGAACCCTAAACCCTTACCAGGGCTCAAGGATGGGGTCTCAACGAAGCCGAAATGCTACAGCTCTAAGCCTTCGAGGGCTTAGGGTGTTGGTTGAGGGTAAACCCTAAAACCTAAACCCTAAACCCTACACCTCAAAGCCCCTAAACTTCATGTCGCAGGGTCCGCCGCGCTTAGAGAAATAGCCCTATAACCCCGGGCATCCCGAAGCCTACTTATGGGTTTCGGGCTGTACGGGTAGCTCTGGGGTTGCAGCTTCATTAAACCCTAAACCCTAAACCCTAAACCATATGCCCCACACCAACACCCTAAAGCCCTAAACCCCAACTCCTGAACACCTCAATTTCCCCAGACCCTTAATCCCAAAGCGTGAGCAAGCGCTGACGGGCAAAAAGAAGAAAAGCATGTGGGATTCTACCCTCTCTAGCTGTAGGCGGTAGATGGACAATTCTCTACATTGTGGTACCTTGTGGGATACCCTAAGTAGAAGGCAGGCACCGTCGTCTTGAAGAAGTAAGCACAGAAGGGGCCGAAAAATGGAACAAGGCAGCACTCATTTCCTTCACTTGACAGGTTTGTTTAAGAGCACTTCTAACGAACGTACCTTAATGACCCAGCGAATCTGATGCTTTAGAATTATGACTCAACAGACAACTCCTTGGAAGATCTGCTCATGGCTGTCCTGATTTCCAAAGAGAATTGATGACAGCCTAGTTTCGGTTCTTTAGGGCGGACTCATTGACTCTTAAGGTTGTCTTGAGCTGTAGATGGCGATCATAAGGGAAAGCGAGGCAGTTACAGGAGCTAGTGGCTGGACGCAACCTTCAGAGGTTCACAAGAAACCTAAATCCTCATCCCTCAACTTGAAAACCCTACACCCGGAACCCTCAGACCTCTAAACCCTCAACTCTGAAAACCCCCAGGCCATGCCACTCTTCGCAGTGCAGGTGCTGCCAAGGGAGTAGATGTAGCACGCCGCCTCCAAGCCTCTCGCACGCATGTGGGGCTTAGGGCTCAGGGCTTCGGGACGTTTTGGGGTTTAGGGTTGAGGCTTTGGGGTTTGCGGGCTCGAGCTCAGGTTAAGGGTTTGGTGTTCCAGGGTTTAGGGTTTAGGGTTCGGGGTTCATCAAGCTTTGAAGGGTGTAGGTGCAAGGGCGTACTAGAGCTGTTGGATCAGAGCGCTCTGATGTGGGAAAACCTTGGAAACGAATTGAGCCCGACATGCGGGCTTCATGACCCATGGTCCAGATACCTTCATGGGGTTTAGGGTTCCCGAAAAGCCCTAAACCCTAACCCCTAAACCCTAAACCCTAAACCCTAAACCCTAAACCCTAAACCCTAAACCCTCATTTGTTTCGTCGGGATCATTTGGTCCCTAAGGAACTTGGCTGACTTCTGAACCCCTCCAAAAAGTTTAACTTTTAGGCTCCTTCTTGTAGTTTCTACAAAAAACCCAAAAAGTTCTTCAAGTCCTAAGAGCCAGCCAGAAGAAAGCCAAGGGAAGTCAAGGGAGAGCCGGAGGTGTGGTTTTGAGGGTCTGGACGATGCAATTCGCGCGAAGGTTCTGGAAGGCAACGGAGACAAGAGCTTCCAAAAACGAAGTCGGGAGATTCATGGGTCCCCCTACTACCCCCCTCGAACTCTCCCTACGTTACCTTCACTATGGGGGGGGGAACCTGGGAAAGGGGAGGGGGGTAGTATAGAGGGGGGTAGCATAGGGGAACCCTGAAGAGATGATTGTCCGTCAGGGGCGGGGTCCCGCCCCCATAATACTCCTTAGAACCTTAATAGAAATAGTTAATGTTTCATATCCTCTTGGGTTTTATATAAACAAGAACAAGAAATAGTTCCCAAGGGGGATCTAGGAACCCCAGGATGGGGAAAGGAATAGAGCCCCAAAAGTGAGTTCTTGCAGGTTGCTGCTTTTGGTTTCAGAAGCAACTTATTCGTTTCGACTCGCGGTCTTCAACAACAATTTAAACAAATGGGGCTTTACAAAAATAAGGGGACTCCTTAGAGACCCCAATCGTAGGACTCCCTTATAATAAGGACCCCAATTAAGGTACCTCCCCCCCAATTTCGGAAGCCCCCAAAATACATCCAGAGAGGACCCTCAAGCTAGGAGGCAAAGGCTAGAATTTCACTCTGAGCATCCCAACCGGCAGAGAGCAAGGGTTTAGGGTTTAGGGTTTAGGGTTTAGGGTTTGCAACTAAATCCAGGGTTCATGGGATGATTGCCTGGATAGGGGGGTTGAACAAGACCGACAATTAACTCTGTAGTTGATGGTCTCCTCTCTCTCAACCCTTAGCAAACAACTAACTCCAGAGTTGATTGTCTGGATAGGGGGTGAACAGCCCCAAAGCAAAAACTGCCAACTACAGAGCTACTTGTGTGTAACTTCTGTTCATATCTTTTCCGCATGCAAAAATCTAAGTGAGCTAACCTCTCATGACCATACAACCTGCAGTACGACCTGAGTCAGACTAATTACTTGACACCCTACTTGCAACTACACCGGAACTTCAGGGTGTAGAGCCCAAGCCCACCATCACGCCATCATGCTCTTAAAGCATGATCCGGCGAATCCTGCGTTGAGAGGGCTTGGGGTGTGCATTTGGGCATGAAGGGCTTCAGGGCTCAGGGTCCTGCGGGTCTGTGCTCCCAACCTAAAAAAACCCTTAAGTCCAAGGCCGAACCCTGCACCCCCAAACGCCCCAAAGGGCCGCAAGAGCGCAGGAACGCAAACTGAGCTAGATCTGAGTCCTGAACCGTCAGAACTCTTGCGGTTCCCCGTAAACCCCGAAAAGAAACCCCTACTAGTCCCACCCTGACTGCCCCACCTCCCCTTGCCTAAGCTTTGTTTCGGGCCTTTTAGGGGGATAGGGAAGGACCCAAACAACCTTGCACCGTAGGGTAAACCCTAAACCCTAAACCCTAAACCCTAAACCCTAAACCCTAAACCCTAAACCCTAAACCCTAAACTCCAGAAAGTTGGAACATGGCTTAGGGACGATTGGTGCTGGGTTTTCTCTTAGTACCCCTTGCGGGGTATCCCCATAAACCCTAAACCCTAAACCCTAAACCCTAAACCCTAAACCCTAAACCCTCTAAACCCTGGGGATAAGGATGTTCCAACTTCTTGGAGTTAACCCTCAACCCAGACCCCAAACCCCAAAAACTCTTGTTGCCTGGGATCGCCAACCGGAACGGCTGGGCAGCGTAGAGTGACCTGGGCTTCGGGACGTCGGGCTTAGGGCTTAGGGTTCAGGAGTTTAGGGTAATTGGTCTAGGGTTTAGGGCTTCGGATTTAGGATTCAACTGCTTCGAGTTGAGGATTTAGAGGTTTAAGGGTTTTGTGTACGGGCTCTTGGCTCTGTCCCCTGCATCGTCCCCGTTTAGATGGATCATAGACCCCTAAACCCTAAACCCTAAACCATACACCCTAAACCCTAAACCCCTCAACCGGAAAAAGAACTGGAATTCCTGTGAACTCGAAGCCCTCCACTGCAGCTACCGGCTCCAGGGTGCAGGGTTTAGGGTTTAGGGTTTAGGGTTTAGGGTTTAGGGTTTAGGGTTTAGGGTTTAGGGTTTAGGGTTTAGGGTTTAGGGTTTAGGGTTTAGGGTTTAGGGGTTAAGGTTGAGGGTTGACGGTTTAGGGTTTAGGGTTTAGGGTTTAGGGAAAAACAAGAGCTCATCACAGAACCTTGAGTACTCGGGTGTTAACAGCAACGTAGCGGCCTTAAAGGACATTCGAGCATGTGAGAGTGTATTGTCGCATGTCATCGTGTCTTATGGTATGCCATCGAATGCTGTCGTATGTTGCTGTAGCATAGGATTTCCCACCATATGTCATATTTGGTGGCAAACCCTAAACTTGCCCTAAGCCCTCAACCCTAAACCCTAAACCCTTCACCCTAAACCCTAAACCCTAAACCCTACACCCTAAACCCTAGACCCTAGACCCTAAGCTCGAGGAGAGGCCAGGGAACGAGCCACTGTCGGTCACCACACGGAAGGGGTCGCCGTCTTGATCGGCAATACAATCCGTCACGTTCTGATCCATCAACTTGGCAGAGTAGGGTTTGGGTTTAGGGTTTAGGGTCTAGGGTTTAGGGCTTAGGGCTTCGGGTTTCGGGTTTCGGGTTTTGAAGTGTTTGAGGCTAGGGGGTTTACGGCTGCTACATAGGAGGAGGCCTCCCGAAGCTATGGCCCACAGCTTCTTCAGCCCCTAACTGCTTTCAGTCTGTTCCAGGAAGTGCTGTTCGTTTAGAATTGAGGGCCACATCAACAATCCTACAGAACGGCTGTCCATTTTCAAGCCACGTTTAAAACCTCGCATCATGCCATCCATCCTTCCTTGCATCATCCATTACGACATCCATCGCGACATCTACTGAAGACTCCTCACGAAGACCACCCGCCATCCACCATGACATCCATCCATGCATCAACGATAACGAAGAACCTTTAAGAAGACCACCCGCCATCCATCACGACATCCATAACGACCTCGATAACGAAGAACCTTCACGAAGACCACCCGCCGTCCATCACGCCATCCATCACGACATCAATCACGACAGCCATCCATGCATCAACGATAACGAAGAACCTTCACGAAGACCACCCACCATCCATCACGACATCAATCACGACATCCATCCATGCATCAACGATGACGAAGAAGCTTCCCGACACCCCTAAGAACAAGCAGAAGGTCGTCGTTCGCGAACTAAGATGCGAACTCCTCCCACGCGCCAGCATCACAACACCCCACGAAGACGCACAAGGTTGGCGTTCACGTGATCACGACACCCCGCGACCACGCAGTGGGTCCTCGTTTTTGCGTCTCAACAACGCAAAAACACGCAGAGGGTTGGCGTTCACGCGATCATGACACCGCGTGACCATGCAGAGGGTCCTCGTTTTTGCGTCTCAACAACGCAAAAGCGCGCAGAGGGTTGGCGTTCACGCACCATTTTTAACCAAGTGCGGCGGCTCCCGCCAACCCTACCCCGTGCTTTAAAGCATTTTAATTTTGGAGGAAAACCCACGAAATCCATCACGCCATCCATCCAGGCATCATCCATCCATCACGCCATCCATATATAAATGACAACGGCACATCATCGAAAACCACCTCCGCTGAAAATCCCTCCACCATGCTTCCGGGAAAAAGCAGGACAGAATAAGAGAGTATTGATGCCCAGGCGCATACTGCATCTCGAATTCGGCGTCCACCCGCCGGGTTCCATCCTGACTACATACCTGGCCTGCAGCAACGCAAGTTTCATCGCAGCTGTCACCTTAGATGGCGCAACTGGTGCGATTGGGCGTTCAAGCTTGCTCACGAGGCTTCTACCTCCCTAAATCACCCCCCCTCCCTCCCTAAACCCTGAACCCTGAACCCTGATACCCTCAACCCCCAATACCTTTCTATCATCCCAGGATTCTGCATAACCAGGGTTCTCTAGGCAAGCAATAGGGGTTTAGGGTTTAAGGTGTAGGGTTTAAGGTTTAGGGTTTAGGGTTTAGGGTTTAGGGTTTAGGGTTTAGGGTTTAGGGTTTAGGGTTTAGGGTTTAGGGTTTAGTCGGCCTTCAAACCTGTGCCTTCTAGATTCGTGCCCGGAAACATTGGCTATGAGGGAATTCAACCCGAGAGCTGGTCCGCCTGAGTCCTTAACCCTGAGTTTAGGGTTTAGGGTTTAGGGTTTGGGGTTTGGGGTTTAGGGTTTAGGGTTTAGGGTTTAGGGTTTAGGGTTTAGGGTTTAGGGTCTAGGGTTTAGGGTTTAGGGTTTAGGGCTTAGGGTTTAGGGCTTAGGGTTTAGGGTTTAGGGTTTAGGGTTTAGGGTCTAGGGTTTAGGGTTTAGGGTTTAGGGTCATATTCAAAATGATGATGTTTTTCCCTTGTTGGGAGTTTACAATGGCAAACATGTAAAAATCAATAAGCAACCAGGACCCAGTAAACCCTAAACCGCAAACCCTAAACCCTAAACCCTACACCCAACTCTGTGTCTTTGGGCCAAGCTGCCGGCCGTGCCTTTGATCCAATCGGCGACGGCCTGCCGAAGCAGAAGCAACCTCAGGAGTGGAGGGTAGGGCGATTTAGGGTCCCGGTTTTAGGCTTTTTGGGTTTGGGTGACAGGGTTTAGGGTTTAGATGGGTATAGGGTTTAGGGTTTAGGGTCTAGGGTTCAGGGTTTAGGGTTTAGGGTGTAGGGCTTAGGGCTCAGGGCTCCGGGGTTGGAATGCTTTGGGGGTGTTCCAGGTGGCTGTGGCATGTTTTGTGACGATCTCTGCGGGTCAAGGTTTAGAGTTTCGAGCCTCTGCGACCTGGGAGACTTTGGGCGCTTCCGGAGATGTCAAAGCAGGGTTTAGGGTTTAGGGTTTAGGGCTTAGGGTTTAGGGTTTAGGGTTTAGGGTTTAGGGTTTAGGGTTTAGGTTTACCCCCCTCCCCAATAGCTGTGCCCCAAAAGCTGCCCAGCCGGGTTACCCAGAAAACCCAAAAGTGCAAAGGGTCGAATAAGGGTTACAGGGGATCCTGGCCCTCACAACCCTAAACCCTAAACCCTAAACCCTAAACCCTAAACCTTGAACCCTGGGAACAAAGGGGTGCGCTGGGCACAAAGCTCCTCCGCTCACCTGGTCCAAGGGGCACGAGAAGTCGCAGAGACCACGCCAGGGCCCTCGCAGGCGCCATGGCGCGCCCCTTGTAAAGCCCGACAACCTCTCTCCAAAAACCACTTGAAAAAATCTAAACCTGCGAAGAAGAACCCGAATCTTCTCTAAACCCTGAACCCTCTAGGGTCCGTTTTGAAAGAAAAGCCTAAACCCTAAACCCTAAACCCTAAGAACCCTTCAAAAGGCCCTCAGAAGCCTCCTGGGGTGCCCCTACCGCAGCCGAGGCATCCTCGGGGCCCCCGCAGGGAGCATCGCAAAGCTGCAGCGAGCCGAGGTTTAGGGTTTAGGGTTTAGGGTTTAGGGTTTAGGGTTTAGGGTTTAGGGTTTAGGGTTTAGGTTTTAGGTCTCTAATATAGGGGCCTGAATAATTAGAACAGGATTAACAGGATTTTGGGGTAATTTTACGATAATTGCAAAGGGACCATAAGGGAAGATTAGTAATTATTCCGACCCCTATATTAGGGCCTTGTAGCGTTCAGGGTGTAGGGGTTAAAGGTTTGGGGCTTTTGGCGTTCGGGGCTTAGGGTGTAGGGATTGTAGCTTTTCAGGGTTATTGGCTTGGCAGGGTTTAGGGTTTAGCTTTAAGCCAACGACGTTCCAGCAGGACCAGTGAGTGCTTAGGGTTCGGGGTCTTGCGGTTCCGGGTTGAGGGTTCGTCGTTTCGGGGTCAGGGTTCAGGCCTTAGGGCGTAGGGGTCCTTTTTCTCCGCTCGGCTTTTGTGAGACGGAGCCGGGCCGGGGGGTGGGGGAATGGAGGACGCGGCATGACTGGTGGCCCTGGGGTGTTGGGGGGGCTTCAGGCCCTCGAGCTTCAGTGCCCTCAGCCCTAAACCCTAAACCCTAAACCCTAAACCCTAAACCCTAAACCCTAAACCCTAAACCCTAAACCCTAAACCCTAAACCCTGATTGATCTTGGGGGCTGTGGGGTGCCAAGGTCTCGGATGCCCTCGTGCGCTTTAAATGTACAGTGGGTGAAACGGCATCCGGCCTTCTCCAGTCCCAGGCCTCTCCGCTTAGGGTTTAGGGTTTAGGGTTTAGGGTTTAGGGTTTAGGGTTTAGGGTTTAGGGTTTAGGGTTTAGGGTTTAGGGTTTAGGGTTTAGGGTTTCGGGTTTCGGGTTTCGGGTTTAGGGTTTAGGGTTTAGGGTTTAGGGTTCAGCATCTCAAATTCAAGCATTCACGAGTCCGGCAGCTTGGGCCCCCCTAGAAAGACGAGTTCCTATCTCGCTAAACCCTACATCCGTAAACGCCCGGAGTGCAAAGAACCCAGAGAAGCCCAGAACCCCCCCCCCCCCCCGTTTTGGGTTTGAGGGTTCTAGGGTAGGTTTAGGGTTTGGGGGTTTTAAGGTTTGGGGTTTAGGGTTGTAGGGTTCAAGGCTTCAGGGTTCAGTATTCAAGTTTTGCGTATTGCCGCGTATTGCTGGCGATCCTTAAGGGATTGAATGGAAGAGAGGCTTATCAGTCTAGGGCTTCTAGAGCTCCAGAAGAAGGATGCTAAACCCTCGGAGAGAAAAAAAAGAAAAGGGTGTTGAAGCTCTGAAACCCTTCACTCTGAGGCCCTAACCTTGGAGACTTGTGCTCTAAGAAGCAAATCGCCCCAACCCCTGAAACCTCAGATCCCCCCCCCCCAAACCGGAAACTTTTCAAGCCCTCAAGCCTCAAGAGACAAGCCGCCAAACCCCCCCACAAAAGCCCAAACCCCAGGGCACTGCCTAGGCTAGGCGCAGAGCGCTCCGGCCGCAGCCTCTGGGGCAAAAGGCGCTATAGGGCTGAGAACACTCCAGAAACTAGCACGCAAGTTTCTCAATCAGGGAAAACTGGGCAGTCCAAATTAGGGTACTTTCAACAACACCGTGGATAAGCCACTTACGACCTGCCCTGAGGATTCAGAGAAGGGTTCGGTGAAGAGCCGAAAACTCCAGAGATGTTTTTCGGCTTATGGGCTGGGGAGAGAGGGGGAGGGGGGGGGGGGCCGCGACAACCATCCGTGAAACCTTCATCCCAGGCATGGGATACCCTAAACCCTAAACCCTAAACCCTAAACCGGTTTGAGGACCCTAACCCTAAACCGGTTTGAGGATTGCGCTGGAAGTGCAAGGCTTGCAGGGGCTTAGTGGCTCCTGAGGCGCCATCCTGATCCAAAGAGCCCTTGGCCCAGCAGGTTGCAGAGGGGTTTAGGGTTTAGGGTTTGGGGTTTCGGGTTTGGGGTTTAGGGTTTAGGGTTTAGGGCTTAGGGTTTAGGGTTTAGGGTTTCAGGTTTGGGGTTTGGGGTTTAGGGGTTTAGGGGTTTAGGGGTTTAGGGGCTTCTAGAGCTTGGGGTACTACTGTTTGGGCCTTCGGGATTTTTCATTGCCAGGGGCTTGGCGGTATACGTCTCTGTTGTGATCTGTACCAGCCGAAACCTTCCAACGTCCAGAAGGAACCCTAAACCCTAAACCCTAAACCCTAAACCCTAAACCCTAAACCCTAAACCCCCCCAAACACTCAAACCGACTCACACCAAAGCCAAAAGAAAAGCGGATCCCGAGAGCGGAGAGGGGGGTCTAGGGTTTAGGGTTTAGGGTTTAGGGTTTAGGGTTTAGGGTTTAGGGTTTAGGGTGTAGGGTTTAGGGTTTAGGGTTTAGGGTTTAGGGTTTAGGGTTTCGGGTTTAGGGTTTAGTGTTTAGCTTCCAAAAAAAGAATAGGGTTTAGGGTTAGGGTTCGGGGTTTTGGGGTTCAGGGTTCCTTGAAAGGTCTCCAGAAAAGGGCCTCAAGTGCCCCCCAAAGCCCAAAGCCCAAGTGGGCTTGCAAATGCCTTTTTCCTGAGCTCGAAGAACGTCCAGCTCTGTCGTCCACCGGAAAAAAGAACAGTTCGCCCAGGAGAAGGGACCGCACATCTCTGACCTAAACCCCCCCCACCGCTACACTGGTCTCTGCTAAGATCCCGAGTTTAAACTCGCACAAACAAAAGCAAATCTGGCCTTGAACCCCCTACTTCTCCAACAACCCAGGGGGAAAAAGGTTAAACTTTTCCATTGCTACTAGATAAGGAAACCCAAAAAAGTTTAAAGTTTAACTATTGGCCAGGTAAGAATCCTAAGGGTTTGCGTGCCCAGGGCCTGAAGACCCACAAGGAGGCCTGACCACCTTTTGCAGCTCAGGGGCCTTGGGGCCTCTTCAACTGGTATGGGTGTTTTGGTAGCTTGTAGTATCGCTTTACAGGGATCATAAGGGGACAATACGGGTAACAATCTGGGCTAGTTTGGAGATTAAACTGTGAGAATGCACCACTGGGTGCTCGCTCGACGCAAAAGTGCCGCCTACTAAGATCTACAGCATGCCTCGTGCTCCTATACTTAACATAGACGAAAGTCTTCTACCGTCTGCGATGGCTTTAGTAAGCTGGAGAGGCCTAAGACGATCTTGTACTCCAAAACACGAGTTACTAGAGAATGCTCGGCCCTGACTCCAGTTGGAGCATTCGTCTTGGTGCTTCGAACCCCTTTGGGGCTTCGGCAACGAGCCCACAGGCCAGCGAAGCGCGGCGCACGCGAGCGCGACTGATAAGCACACTCCACTGAGAGGATGCTCCGCCTAGGATGCTCAGTAACCCAGGATTTAAAAGGGTACCCTTTTTGCTTAAAGGGGTTTATAAGGGAACATAACCCCCCAAAAAAGGGACTAAGGGCACTACTGGGCATCCTAGCTGCTGGCCTCCAGGCAGTACTCTGCAGGTTTAACCTGAGCTGGTAGCCCTTCGGGCTACATTCCTAAGTTTCTGTCGGCTGCGGCAGGTCCAAGATGGATTCCGAAGTGGTCCTGTTGCGGACACGCTTCTTCGCTCGCTGGATGATGACCTCGTTGTTCACCCAGAAGAGCACCCCCAGCGCAAGGAAGCCTGCGAAAAGGGAAAGGAATTTGCGTCAAGCGTACTTATCATACAAACATCAGTGACTCTGATATGATCGGACGACAAACGTTCAATATGTCAATACCTCCATAAAGCAACGTGCGCGAACTTGCACAGGCCAAACTCTTTGATGAATCCGGACAATCACTGGTTCCACAGCAAAACATACCAAGTCACTGCAAGCCCATAGTTGGTTCCAACGCTCTCTCTCGTCCCCTTTCTTTCTTTGGGGCATGGAGGGGGTCCTCCGCGCTGCAAGCGCGCCCGGTCTCGCATTACTCTGTACTATGCTCACGTCTGCAGCCCTTTGGCTGCCGCATCGCCACCACCTCATATGGGTCCATTTTCGACCCACCTTCTGCCCCCTCTCTCTCTGTCTCTCTCTCTGTCTCTCTCTCTGTCTCTCTCTCTCTCTCTCTCTCTCTCTCTCTCTCTGCGTCTCTGCACGCATAGCCCCCCCCGAAGGGAGGCCGCCCCCAGGAGCGCGCGAAGTCCAAGGGTCAGTTTTTGAGATTAGCCGCGTATTGCAGCCTTAGTGATGGTGGAGGTAAAAATAAACATACAAAACATGAAACACGTAGTAATTGCGAGATTTTTCGAAATAAACAGTGGAAAAAAAACGAATGTAAGAAAAACCATCTATTTATAAAATGAAAAGCATTATCATTGAAATAAGAAGGAAATTGATATATAAAAACCTATTTAAAAATCTGATATATTGACAAAAACAGGATCGCTTTGGCTCTCTCTTTCTCTCTCTCTCTCTCTCTCTCTCCCGCTCTTTGTCTCTGGAACGGGGATGGCCCTTACAGTACAGCCCTGTGAGCAATATTCCTGAATACGATCCTCTTAAGCTCAATAAGGGAAAGTATACAATGTGTCAAGGGCCTACCTAGCTGGAAAACCCTGAGCTGCTGTCGACCCTAAACCCTAAACCCTAAACCCTAAACCCTAAACCCTAAACCCTAAACCCTAAACCCTGGGAGGCCTATGCACATTCCAACGTTGCCCGCCGGCATGACGATGGAGGCTTGGATCAGGTAGCCAGCAGCATAGAAGACCACCTTATGGTGGGTTTAGGGTTTAGGGTTTAGGATTTAGGGTTTAGGGTTTAGGGTTCAGGGGTTTCGGGTCCTTAGTATAAGGGCATCCTACTTTTTGGGGGGTCTATGTTGGAATCCCCTGTTTTCGTAAACCCCTCATCGATCCCGGACCCTTACTGCTCGCACCTGGAACCCAAGACACCAGAAGCCCTGAACTTAGGGTTTAGGGTTTAGGGTTTAGGGTTTAGGGTTTAGGGTTTAGGGTTTAGGGTTTAGGCTTTAGGCTTTAGGCTTTAGGGTTTAGGGTTTAGGCTTTAGGGTTTAGGGTTTAGGGTTTAAGGCCTAGTGTAGAGAGCCCTTCGTTTCGTAGTTTAGGGCTTAAGGTTTTGAGGTGTGGAGTCCTTACGCTAAAGACCAACCACAGCGAGGTAAGCGCGAGTTGCTCCCAAAGCCATGGCAGCACTGGGTGTGGCATCGCAGACTTTGCCAAGGAATCCCTTCCTCGGGTTCAGAGATTCGGGGTTTAGGGTTTAGGGTTTAGGGTTTAGGGTTTAGGGTTTAGGGTTTAGGGTTTAGGGTTTAGGGTTTAGGGTTTAGGGTTTAGGGTTTAGGGTTTAGGGCTTGGACCTACATGCTCAACCTGAAACGCCCCTGCGCGCTTAAGCACCTAGACTGCGAAACACGGCAGCGAACTAGAACTCGAACAGCAACCTCTACAGCCTTGTGCAGGCCCCCCACGCCACCCCAAATCCAACATCCTGCCAAGCCTGCCCTCGAAACTCCCCTGAAGCCCAAACCCCCCAAAAAAAACCCCAAAACCTTAAGCCCTGAACCCTAAACCCTAGCCCTAAACCCTAAACCCTAAACCCCAAAGCCCCTGAAGCCCAGGCGTCGTGATCTCGTCCCGCAGCTCGGCACTGTGCCAGGAGTCCATCCGCTGGAAGGCGAGCAGCCGGGCGATGGAGGTCATAATGGCCACCATGTTGCCTGGGTTTAGGGTTTAGGGTTTAGGGTTTGGGGTTTGGGGTTTAGCGTTTAGGGTTTAGGGTTTAGGGTCTAGGGTTTAGGGTCTAGGGTTTAGGGTGTAGGGTGTAGGGTGTAGGGTTTAGGGTGTAGGGTGTAGGGTTGAGGGTTGAGGGTTGAGGGTAGTGTGCTCAGAACAGCACGTCACCATCAGTGAACTTCACTATTCCAACTCACAGCTCAGGCATACCTTATTGCAGTCTACTTTACCACACTATCGGATACCAAGCTAGAATACAGGCCTGCGTACGCTGTACGATATGCTGGAGCATACCAGGCTCGACTCTACTGGCAAGAAGCTTGCGGTTCCAAATCGCTATCACCAAGACCTGTAGGCTCTGAACTCCCTGTTTTCAGACGGTCGGAATGTCTACGAGGGCTACGGCTGTTAGAACCTTCGGTCAGGGTGCAGATCATGCTCAAGCACTGGCAGACCTGGTAGACTTCGAACTTCGGGAAGCACCTGGGGACGAACACCGAAGCCTCGTCTTTGAAGATGGTAGCACATGCTTTCCATAGTATACTCTGCAACTTTCTTTCCTTCCTGCGCTGTACCATAGCACGCTTTAACCATCGCATTCTATGGCACACTATAGTATACTATAAACTACTGTCGTATACCATAGTATACCATAGTATACTCTAGTATACTCTAGTATACTATAGTATACTACAGTATAGTATCGTAAATCATACGCGTATGTAGTAGGAGTGCGGCGCGTTCCCGCGTGTGTACTTTCGAGCACATTTTCAGGTTTTCCGGACCTTCTGCCGGGGGGGGGATAAGATCGTCATTCATATTGCGTCCATGCCCAATACACTGGTGTTTTCAGCGATTTCGCCTCTTTGTACAACATACTGCACAAGGATGCGGAACAAGAAAATCTGTCACAAGCGTCCATGCCTTTCATGACCATGCCCAAAACACTGGTTTTTACAGCGTATTATGCCAAAAACACTGGTATTTACAGCGTGTTCGCCTCTTTGTACCCCATGTAAGCTTCAAACCTGTAGCCTCACATACGCATAAACCCTCAACCCTGCAAGCTAAAGCCTCAACATAAAACCCATGACCCGGGCTTCACATCGCAAATATATACCACAAAACTACAATGACAGTGATTTCAAAACTACTATGTAGTGTGAAAGCCTGGCCCCAAAATAGACATAGTTTTCCCAAAGTGCTTAAAACCCACCCCTGCCGACAGCCCATGGGTACCACGTCCCCGATAGCTCTTCGCAGAGGCGGGTGTCCTGCTTGCAGCAGGGCCCCCCACGTTCACCAAGGTTCAAGCACCCCCGCCTTCATTCGGGGGGCTTAAGCACCATCATGAACCTTGAAATGCTGCAAATCCTAAGCCCTACGTGCTCAAACCTAACCGAGCCCCTGCATCCCAAAAATCCCATTTTCCCGGCCTGGTTGAACTCCCAGGAGTCCGTGAGGCCGGAGGCCATGCAAGACATGATCAGCGCCGACACCAAGCCCACCGTCGAGTTGATGTTGACCTGAACGACACCATTCCACCACCAGCAACGCAACCACCACTACCACCGCTACCACTCCTGATCCTTGCCACACCCTAAACCCTAAACCCTAAACCCTCTTTCTTTGATTAGCGCCCTCCTCATGCTGTATGACGAGCCGGTCCCAGACCAGCTTTCCCAGGGGTTGAATCAAGACAAAGAGGCAACCTCCTCTACCCGACCGGTTGGAACGACACTATGATAGATGATAATAGACCACAACAGTAACAATAAAGTTGTCATGGCACTGAAGAAGAAATGAAAATATTATTCATAACATGGTAGTGCATACCACAAAGTATGCGATGCAGTAGAGCATAGGCATAGATAGCATATGACAAGAGACAACAACCGTGAGGGTGCAAAAAATGTAACGACATAACCCAGACAACCTGAGGTTTATGTGGGCTCTTGTGCACGGCGCCTCATCGTCGTTGACCTCCTGAGCCACGTCCTTCTGCTCGGAAGCCATGCTGCCACGCGAAAACGCGCGGAAAATCCCTGGGCACCCTAGCCTCAAGCCCTGCGGAGAAAGAGGAAGGACATTCGAACCTTGGGCTTGTATATACATATGTATATATATATATACACACATATATGTATATACTATACATATACCGGTATATATACATATATATATATATATGTTTCGTACATAGAGCTTGGGGAGGGAACGCACCCTTACGAGAAGCCTTGACGGTGCTATTCCAGGTCCCATCTAGACTCGGGGTGCCTCCGCTTGATCGCTGCAACCCTGAAACCCCTGAAGCCCAAGAACCCTAATTAAACCCCCAAACGATTTAGGGTTTAGGGTTTAGGGTTTAGGGTTTAGGGTTTAGGGTTTAGGGTTTAGGGTTTCGGGTTTCGGGTTTAGGGTTTCGGGTTTAGGGTTTCGGGTTTAGGGGTTAAACCCTAGAACCCTAAACCGTGAGCCCTAAACCCTAAATCCCTACGCCCTAAAACCCTCAAACCCTAGAACCCTGAATTTTGCTGGATCTCGGTATACCAGGGACTATGGCCTCGGAACATAAGGGTCGCGACGTCTACATGAAAAATCACCTTTAGATAGATAGAACCTGGGCCACGAAACTACTGAAATTCTCCTAAACGCCTAAAACTTAGACCGTCCCAGTCCCAAACTGCTTAGGGTTTAAGATTTAAGGGTCCTAGATCCCAAACCCTTGCAAATTAAACCTTGACTGCTGGACGTTTGTGGCTTGGCGGTCGTGCCTAAACCCCCAACCCCAACCCCCACACCCCCTCCCCCACGCCTTATGATAGTAACCCTAAACCCTAAACCCTAAACCCTAAACCCTAAACCCTAAACCCCAAACTCTAAACACCATACTTTAGAGAACTCATCCATACAACTCTCAAGCCTGAAGCCCCAAGCAAGCCCGGCAACATGCGCCTGGGGACAAACCTGCAGCTTCGGCCTCGGCATCATAAAACGCGCTCGTTTGGGAACCAAGGGTTGTGGGTTACATAAGGGGTTTGGGGGTTTGGGGTTTCGGGTTTGGGGTTTAGGGTTTAGGGTTTAGGGTTTCGGGTTTAGGGTTTCGGGTTTAGGGTTTAGGGTTTAGGTAGGGTTTAGGGTGAATTTGGGTGCTTGGGCTTCGGGCTTCTGGGTTTAGGGGCTTGTGAATAAGTGGGGTTTCGGGAGTTTGGGGTAAACCCTAAACCCTAAACCCTAAACCTAGACCCTAAACCCTAAACCCTAAAGCCTAAGAAGCGTTGAGGATTTTAGGATCTTGGGTTGATGGGGATTAAGGAGCCAGGCTCTCTACAACCGGCTCAAGAGTCAGATCTCTGAGTTCTGCGTGCCCTCTCAGGTCTAGGGTTTAGGGTTTAGGGTTTAGGGTTTAGGGGTTTAGGGTTGAGGGTTTAGGGTTTGTTTAGAACCGGATAGAACCCTTCAAAACGCAAGGGTTGGCGGTTCAGAGCCTAGGATCCCAGGGGCTAAACTACGAGAAACCCGTAAGATTCACAGCGGGTCTCGACCCGAAGTTCGCAGGATCGGCCCCCTCACCTAAACCCTGAACCCTAAACCCTAAACCCTAAACCCTAAAGGTAATATGAGGGCCAGAGTAGGAGCTTCTTCAGGGCAACCCTTTAGGGGTACAACCTTGGGGGTACGAGCTGGGATGCCACCCTTATACTCTAACAGCTCCCTTAATAGGGATTATAACAGGTATCATGATACTAACGGCTCCTTAATCCCTAGGTACAATAGGGGGGGTACTAGAATCCCTATTAAGGACTGTTAGTATAAGTGAAGCATCCCAAGGTCCCAAGGTACGAGGTTTGGAATCACCTCAAGATCATGAAACTCCACCTCGGAACTACCAAGAAGGTTTTATACCCTTGGGTTGGGGGGAGACGTTTTAAGGATCCTTGAAGCAGCATAAGGTCCATACTAAGGGGAACCTTTAGGGGGTACAACCTTAGGGGTACGAGCCATAGTCCCCTGACAAGACCAGAGAGACCACCCCTTAAGGGGTAAAAGGACGGACCCCTAGAAGGGTTCATCTTATTCCCTATATAACCCGGATACATACCTCATATAGCCCCTCTATACCTGAGTAGCCCCTGAAGGAGCCCTAAAAGAACCCCTAAGGTCCCTTAGAAGCATCCCTCCTTTGGTTCCTTGAACCCCGGAAGCTAAGCTGGCGACTCCACAGGCGGGATCAACCTCTGCAGGTCGTGGGGCAAGGGCGGTAAAGGGCATCTTTGGGCTGAGGGCATCTGCCCTAAGCCCTAAACCCGAAACCCGAAAGGGTTTTGGGCGACTTTTTGGGGGGGGGGGGGGGGTTGCTCTCAAGGGCTTCAGGTACATGATGGACTGAATACATTCCGCGTTGCAGCCCTGAACCCTAAACCCTCCCTAAGCCCTACTGTAAGCCCTAAGCCCCAAGCCTCAACAATGCCAAAACCCTGAACCCGAGCTATCCGCTCAGCTTCCGGCAAGCTCTTGAGGGAACGTGGGGATGTTTATGCAGGCTGACTATTCCAATTTCCTCATGCCATCTCCGAATGCTCGCTCCGGACACAAACCCTAAACCCCTAAACCCCTAAACCCCTAAACCCCTAAACCCCTAAACCCCTAAACCCCCTAAACCCTCAACCGTGGACCCTAGAACCCCGAGTCCCTACATCCCCTCAACCCTAACCCCTAAAATCAACCCCTAAACCCCTAAACCCCTACATCCCGACATCCCTAAAACCCCTAAACCCTCAACCCCTCAACCCCTCAACCCCAAAACCCCAAAACCCTAAACCCTAAACCCTAAACCCTAGACCCTAAACCCTAAACCCTAAACCCCTGCATCCAAGGAACATGGCTTCCACCGCCGGGCTCCGGGGCTTGACCTCCCACAACTCAGGCAGGATGCCTGGGGCCGGGGTCTGCTGAGGCTTGGGGTTTGGGGTTTCGGGTTTAGGGTTTAGGGTTTAGGGTTTAGGGTTTAGGGTTTGGGGTTTAGGGTTTAGGGTTTGGGGTTTAGGGTTTAGGGTTTAGGGTTTAGGGTTTAGGGTTTGGGGTTTAGGGTTTAGGGTTTGGGGTTTGGGGTTTGGGGTTTAGGGTTTAGCGTCTTAGGGCTCAGGCCAGGGGCCGGGGTCTGCTGAAGAGGGTTTGGGGGTTAGGGTTTAGGGCTTATGGTTTGGGGTTTCGGGCTGAAGGTCCAGGGTTTCGGGTCTTGGGGTTTAGGGGTTCTGGTTTTGGGGGTTTAGGGTTGTAGTGTTTAGGGTTTGGGGTTTAGGGTTTAGGGTTTTGGCTTGAAGGTTTAGGGTTAAAGGGTTTTGAGGTTTACGGATTAGGTCTTTGGGGCTTTGGGGCTTAGGTCAGGGTTTTGGGATTGGGGTTTTGGGTTGAGGGGTCGGGTTTAGGGGTTTTGTGCTTAGGGTATTGGGGTTGCGGTTGAGGGATTTGAGCCTAGGGTTTAAGGGCCTAGTTTTAGGACGTTAGGTTCAGAGTTTAGGGAGTCAGGGGTTTGGGCAGTTGCTCTCAACACATAACCCGAAACCCCGAAGAAGCACATCTTCCAATGGGGCGGAAAGCTTCGCCTGAATCTGCCATTCCTCATCTTTAAGTTCTGCCCGACTTCAGCCGGCATGGCATTTAGGGTTCTGGGTTCAGGGTTTAGGGTTTAGGGTTTAGGGTTCAGGGTTTAGGGGGTTTAGGGTTTAGGGTTTAGGGTTTAGGGTTCTTCCCCACAATCCCTGAAGCCAAGCTGTCTTATGAACCCTACACCCACATCCCAAAACCCCCAAAAACCTGAAAGCAGCCAGGAGGCCAGAGTATGTCTGTGGACGCAGGGCCTCCATCACCAGGAAGTCCTCAGCTTCGTCAAGGAGTTCCTTGCCTCTCTTCCGGCCCAAGATGGCGCTTTACAAGAACTTACCAACCCTAAACCCTAAACCCACCTGAAGAACCCCAACGAACCCGAACTCCCAGAACCCTCCAGCCCTTCGCCAAGCAGGAGCCCTGATCCCATGCACCCTAAATCCTTGAAACATTAGACTACTTTTGGGGCTTGGGGTTTTGGAAGACTTGGGGTTTTATTTTTTTTTTGGGGGAGGGGGGTCGGAGGGGCGGGAGGGGGGGGCGGGGGTTCGGACACTGAACGAACTCCCAAGCACGAAAAAAAACCCTCGGCCGAGCCTTTACTCACACCCAATTGGGCCCTCAAACCCGAAACCCTAAACCCGAAAACCCTAGCCCTAAACCCTAGCCCTAAACCCTAGCCCTAAACCCTAGCCCTAAACCCTAGACCCTAAACCCTAAACCCTAAATCTGGCCAAGGTGTCCAGGTGCATGTACTGAAAGGCCATCCTTGGCTCTCACAAAGAGTGGTGGGCTCCAGGGTTTAGGTTTAGGTTTAGGGTTTAGGGTTTAGGTTTTAGGGTTTAAGGTTTAGGGTTTAGGGTTTAGGGTTTAGGGGGTAGGTTTGCGAGAGGGACAGCAATAGGTCTTTCGCCGCCCGGGCACGCAGTTTCGATGCCGGCACGAGAGCTCTTGAGAATGGGGCCTTGTGTCGGCCACGTCATTTACCTTTGCCCGCCCGCGCCCATAAAGGGCGGCTCCCACCCCCTTAACCAGCTCCGCCTTTTAGGGCTTAGTTTCCTAAACTCATTTTTAGGGGACTGTCTTGTGTTTTCTATATGTTTCATTTATCTCTCTGTTCGTTGCTTTTATTCCTTGTCTAATCATATTCGAAATAATATTCGTGCGCCCAAAAGGGGGGATGCGACTTTCATGAAGATGTGTCGATTCTAGTATTCGTTTATATTAAATATCGTTGCAGGAATGACCCTCCTGATGTTCAGGGTTTGGGGTCCCCAAATCACGTTAAATCATAGTTCTAGACCATATTCGCTACATGGCACGTGTAGTAGCGAGACTGCAAACAAGCAAGCCAGCACCTACGCTACAGAGCAAATACCGACGGTGTGTGTGTGTGTGTGTGTGTGCGTGCGTGCGTGCGTGCGTGCGTGCGTGCGTGCGTGCGTGCGTGCGCGCGTGCGCGCGTGCGCGCGTGTGCGTGGACCATGCATCTGATTTTTCCTACGCGGCTGTCGCTGACCGTTGCATCGGTGTGAAGAAAGATGTTTCCGCGCGCTCACTGCAGCAGATCATATAGGGCACGCGGCTGGACGACAACCGTGTAGCACCGAATCCCAAGATCCAGCACCTTCAGGTTGTCATCAATCCGACGCCCGCCTGGTGCCCAGAAACTCGCGGAGCAGCCCGGATGCCCCAAGGTGCTCGCCACAAATTGGCCGGCGTCTTGCACCGTGCACTTTGCCGGGAAGATGTACCTTTGGCGATGGCCGCTCAGAGTGACGACATGGACCACCACCGGCAAGCGATTGAGCTTCCACACGGGCCTTTTCAGAACGAGTGCGCTTCAGTGTACTAAACGACAAACTCAGCGAGCCCGGAGGGCTTTCGTGATCTTCAGGAAGCCAACACGCACTTACGCGTTGGCAAGTGTTCGTTTGTCTGGGCCTTGTTGACCCGCGGTTTGTCCAGAAGACCTCATTTACCCAAGTGCAGCGCAGATTACACAGCTGAGCACCAGGCTTTTGCATCGCGGTCCACTCCTGGCCGGGCGATGGTCTCCTATTGTAGTATTTGAAGTGATCTCAATATGAGGTGTGTAGTTCTACCAAACAAACAGCACTCAGCCTTGCGAGCTCGAGAGAAAACACGCTGAGCCAAGTGACGTTGTCTCTTTTGGGCCGAAGACGCTGTCCCGGACTTCTTCTTAATGGGGGAAGAGAAGGGCACCGGGGCCTGGCGGTGCCTTATGGGCACCCCCTTCCTCGCTATAGCCGAAGGTGCACCGAGTGAGGACAGATCTGCGGGGGCTGGAAACCCTTTACATCTTGCGAGGATTTCTTTTGAAGTTATTATCAGCCGTGGGACAGGGGCAGCGAGGTCTTCATCGTTACTAAAGCTTCAACTGAGGTCAGTATTGCTAAGACCATTTCCTCGGCAGGCAACGTAGGGGACGCACCGGCGACCTCGCGCGCGTGTAATGTATATAACTCGATTCTTGAGCTTCCGCACGTCAGCGGGCCTCTTTCGAGAAACGCTCCAAAAGTGGGCAGCCCTGGCGAAGGCTGTCGAAAATAGAATACCTACAGCGCTATAGGGCCGGTTCGTTTGCGACGCACCTCGAACAGCTGAGCAGGGTCCACGCTCACCTGCACGGCAAGCGCCAAGTTCCACGAGAGTCTGTGGCGGCGCCCGGCCGCCTTCCAGTGCGTGCTGAGCGCGCCGGCCACTTGAGGCCAGAGGCCCTGGTCGACGTAGGCCCAGCTTAGCTCGGCTTGGGGTCCATGGCGGGGCCCTATCGGGGAGCAATTCGACCTGGCGACCCAAGTCGTAGCACGCTCATCCCTACTCAGTCTGCTAGCCGGAGTGGGCCGGGCGCACTCGTCTACATTTGGAACAGTGGGAACACGCGATCGTAGCTAGAAATCACTCACTTTCAGGGAATGGCGGTAAGGTCGAAGTTCGTACATTTTGGGTATCAGATACATCATAGCTAATAATTTGTTCAATAAGTAATGAGTCAGCAAATAACACTTTACCTAAGTTATGAATTGATAGCCAACCTTTATTTTCAATAGCTTGTTCATAATATACTAATGTTTAATTCATAATTAACTAATTGAAAGGCCCTAAGATCTGGTCAGAGAGTATAGCTACTGAATGGTAGTAGCACACACCAATAAAGGAAACCGAACGACATCCTTAAACCGTGCGGGGCTTCCTGCATTTCGACAGGGCTGGGAACAGGAAACCAGACGACATCCTTAAATTGCGTGAGGCTTTCTGAGAATTTAACATGTCCCCATATCACGGTAGCCGACGAGGGACTCGGGGCTGCTACCGTAGCTATGAATTCCCGAGAAACCACAATTTGAGGACGTCGTCTGGTTTCCTGGAGAATGCTTAGGTTCCCCGCCTTGTCGAAACGCAGGAAGCCCCACAGAATTTAAGGATGTCGTTCGGTTTCCAGGATTTAAGAATAGGAATTAGGCATTAATTCCTAAAGACTAGGATTTAAGAATAGGAATTAGCGAATAGAATTAGCGACGAGAAATTAGGAATCGAAATTAAGACGCTAATTCCTAAAGACTAGGAATTCGGAATAGGAATTGGCGACTAGGAATTAATAGCCATAAATTTGAAAATCAGGTGGTCTTATCTGCTATATAAGATCAATTGAAATTCCAGCTGGAATCGACCGCCTTTCGGACAATCCTCGGGAGCCCCCCACGATGGTCTTAATTCCTAAAGAATCACATTTAGGAATGGGCGACTGAGAGTTTGGACTAGGAATTAGCGAATAGCGGTCAGGAACTAGGAATCGGAATTAGGGCGCTTATTCCTAAAGACTAGGAAAGATGAATTTCTGCTATATACATTTCAAGTTTCAGCTGGAATCGACAACCTTTCGGCCAATGCTGGGCCCCCCATTGTGGCTGTAATTCCTAAATAATCGTGATGAGGAATTAGCGACTAGGAATCCGGACGAAGAATTAGCGAATAGGAATTAGCGACTAGGAATTAGCGTTTTGGAATTCGGAATATATAGGAATTAGGCGCTAATGCTAAAGAATAGGAATTAGGAATAGGAATTAGTGAATAGGAATTCGCGATTAGGAATTAGGAATAGGAATTAGGGCGTTAATTCCCAAAGACTAGGAATTAATCATAGGAATTGGCAACTAGAAATTGCAGCCGTAAAAAAAAAGTGGTCATTTCTGCTATTTAAATTCTTTGTAAATTTCAGCTGGGACCGACCACCTTTCGCCCAATCCTGGGGCCCATTGTGGTCCTAATTCAAAAAGAGTCGCGATTAGGGATTAGCGACTAGGAATTTGGACTAGGAAATAGCGAATAGGAACTAGCGACTAGAATTAGCTAATTCCTAAACACTAGCAATGAGGAATAGGAATTAGCGACTAGGAATTAGGAATAGGAATTAGGAATCAGAACTAGAACGCTAATTCCTCAAGACTAGGAATAAGGAATAGGAATTAGCGAATAGGAATGAGAAAATTCAGGCCCGAGCACAGGGTTTAGAGTTTACAACTTTGAATAGGCCAGTCTGGCCGAGCTGCCCCAATGCTTAGCGGTGGCACGGCTGAGTCGTTACAGTGCGACGGTGTTTTGCCACAGGGCAAGTGCTCTGTATGTGCGATGCCCTAAACAGACATACGTCAGGCCGTTCGGCTGGTGGGGGCGGGGCGAAGCCCCCCCACCAGCCATGCCTGAGTTTAGGGTTTAGGGGTTAGGGTCTAGGGTTTAGGGTTTAGGGTTCAGGGTTTAGGGTTTAAGGTTTAAGTTGAGGGTTTGAAGTTTAGGGTTGCAAAAGGGGTTGTGGGTCTATGTTGAGTTACGGTTTAGGATTTAGGGTCTAGGGTTTAGGGTTTAAGGTTGCAAAATGGGGTTCTGGGTATACGTTGTGCTTGGGGTTTAGGGTTTAGGGTTCGGGGTTTTCGGGTTTCGGGTATGGGGGGTTTTGGGGGTTTGGGGGTTTTGGGGTTCAGGGTTCAGGGTTTGACTTCCTCCGAAAGCCCTAGACCCTAAACCCTAAACCCTACACCCCAAACCCTAAACCCTAAACCCTAAACCCTAAACCCTAAACCCTAAACCCTAAACCCTAAACCCTAAACCCAAACTTCCTCAAAAAGCCCAAGACCAAGGACGGGCCGCAGCGGGTCGTCTCGAAAGTCGACCCCGGCATGGCTCGACGTGATGACGAAGACGATGGACCTGCTCATGGGCCGTTCTGCCCAGGGCGAGGCGGTTTAGGGTGTAGGGCTTAGGGTTTAGGATTTAGGGTTTGGGGTTTAGGGTTTGGGGCTTAGGGTTTAGGGCTTAGGGTTTAGGATCTAGGGCTTGGGGTTTAGGGTTTGGGCCTTAGGGTTTAGGGCTGAGGGTTTAGGATCTAGGGTTTGGGGTTTAGGGTTTAGGGTTTCGGGTTTCGGGTTTAGGGTTTAGGGTTTAGGGTTTAGGGTTTAGGGTTTAGGGTTTAGGGTTTAGGGTTTAGGGTTTAGGGCTTGAGAGAAGAGCTCGGACTTCGAGCTTCCGGCCTTCACGGTTCTGGGCGCATTCTCTCCGGTCAAGAAGGCAACGCAGAAACCGAGATCTACGGACGTTTCCTAAACCCTAAACCCTAAACCCGAAACCCTAAACCCTAAACCCTAAACTGTGGCTCTGTGCCTGGAACTGCAAGGGGCTGCAAATTCGAAAAAGAAAGGAAAACTGGCATGAAGGGCATCGTCTGGGGAACTTGTGCATCAGATGTTCGGTGTGGGTTTTGGGTTTTGGGTTTAGGGTTTAGGGTTTAGGGTTTAGGGTTTAGGGATGGAGAAGGGGTTAAGATTTACGGTTTAGGGTTTAGGGATAAGGGTTTAAGGCTTAAGGTTTAGGTGATACAAGAAAGTCTTAACAGAAGAAACAGGGATTTCATGAAACATTTCCTTCTACACGCTCTAAACCCTAACCCCTAAACCCTAAACCCTAAACCCTAAACCCTAAACCCTAAACCTTCAAGCCTCAGTCCTCAATCGCGTTCAGGGTTCTGGGCTTGCCTACACTTCCATTCGCACAGGGTCAGCCCCTTGCCCGCTCCAAGCGGTTTGGGGTTTAGGGTTTAGGGTGTAGGGTTTAGGTGAGGGTTCAGGGGGCTTAGGGTGTAGGGTGTAGGGTTTAGGGTTTAGGGTTTAGGGTTTAGGGTTTAGGGTTTAGGGTTTAGGGTTGAGGGTTGAGGGTTGAGGGTTGAGGGTTGAGGGTTTAGGCTGCCCTCAACTGCAAAACCTTCGCAGTCCAAGCGGCGGAGTCTCGAAGTAGAGGTACTCCGTTCTCGCAGCCTCCGGGGGCGTTCTTGGCTGAGGTGCCCCACTACAGCGCCTAAACCCTAAACCCTAAACACCATTCTTGGGGTCCTGTCATGATGTCGTACAAGTAGCCAAGGGGTCCTGGAATCAAGGAGTTCGCCGTCGGCCCTTACTTGAAGCGTCGTGGTAGTCAGAAGGAGGGTTTCAAGTACCTAACCTCTACCCTTTTACCGAAATAAGTGGCGAGGAATCCTGAAGCAACGGCATGAAGATCCTCACTCCCTAAACCCTAAACCCTAAACCCTAAACCCTAAACCCTTGTCATGCTGTAAGCAGCCACCCCCCGCACCTGGTTCCGACAGTTGATCTCGAATCGAACAGACTTTGCCGTGTACTCCATCTTGCGCATCTCCTGCCGCAGGGGTTTAGGGTTTAGGGTTTAGGGTTTAGGGTTTAGGGTTTAGGGTTTAGGGTTTAGGGTTTAGGGTTTAGGGTTTAGGGTTTAGGGTTTAGGGTTTAGGGTTTAGGGTTTAGGGTTTGGGTTTGGGGTTTGGGGTTTAGGGTTTAGGGTTGTTTCTCAACCCTAAGCCTAAACCCCTAGGCTGCCCAGTAACCTAGGCTTAAAAAGGGTGCCCTTTTTTGCTTAAAGGGGTTTATGAGGGGACCATACACAACCAAAAAAGGGAATAAGGGTACTACTGGGCATCCTAGAACCCCTATCCCTCAAATCCCAACTCTGTCCCCCCCCCCCACCCGAGCTTCACCCAAGATGCTCTAAGCCAATGCCCTAGATAAACACGCCCAAACCCAGAACCCTAGAACCTCAAACCGCCAGCATCAACCCCCCCCCCGACAAGCTCCAAACCCTAAGCCCCAAATCTCAAAATACGACAAACACCAAACCCTGAAGGAAATTCTTAAACCCCAACTCCCTAAACCCTATACCCTAAACCCTAAACCCTAAAGTCTTAAGCTACAAAGACCTAACCCCGAACACACGCAGATCTCAGAACTCCTATGGCGCCCACCTTCACGGCTGGAGATATAGGGGCTTTTGATTTAAGGTTTAGGATTTGGGGCTTCGGGTTTGGGGTTTAGGGTTTAGGGTTTGGGGTTTGGGGTTTGGGGTTTGGGGTTTGAGGTTTGGGGTTTGGGGTTTGGGGTTTGGGGTTTGGGGTTTGGGGTTTGGGGTTTGGGGTTTGGGGTTTGGGGTTTGGGGGGTCGGTGTAGCTCGAGTACATACTTGTGATGCCGGTGGAGGTCTGAACCAAAGGGAGTACACACCTTCAGCTCACACAAGAACTACATACAGCTCCTCGTGCGGCCATGGCTTTGGGGTAGCGGCTACTGGATTAGGTCTATACAGTGACTGTGCGGGGCGTTTCGGGGGGTTTAGGGTTTAGGATTTAGGGTTCAGGGTTTAGGGTTCAGGGTTTAGGATTTAGGATTTAGGGTTTAGGGTTTAGGGTTTAGGGTTTAGGGTTTAGGGTTTAGGGTTTAGGGTTTAGGGTTTAGGGTTTAGGGTTTAGGGTTTGGGGCTTTCTCCCCGGTCCTTGAGAGGCCTGCCGCGGCTTCCTTAGTGAGATCTCACCATGCGTGGTACCATCCCAAGCACAGCCAAGACTTCCAGCTGTCGAGGAAGGGTTGTAAGCTCTCCAAACCCGAACCCATGAAGCCCACAAGGCTTCTTAGGGTTTAGGGTTTAGGGTTGAGGGTTTAGGGTTTAGGGCTTAGGGTTTAGGGTTTAGGGTTTAGGGACCCGGAAACTTACACCCAAACCTTCAGAGGTAAGGAGCCCCCACGCCGGGGTGCCATCCTTGAAGCAGCCACACTACGAGACCCCAGCCTACACCTCAAACCCCAAAGCCTAAACCCTACTTGAGGGGTATAAGGAGGGTCACTAGAAGGGACCCTCAATCTTATTCCCCTATAAAAACCATATGCCTTATATAGTCCCTGGAAACCCCTAAATGGTCCCTTATGAGGATCCCTCCTTTAGTCACTTGACTTGCGAAACCCTCAATCCTAAACCCTAACCTGGGCGCGTTCTGCATTTGGGGCTCGTGGCCTTTCGTGGAGGTCCCTGAACCTATCCCCGCTGGCCCCTCCTGAACCCTGAGGCTTCAGGTTTAAGGTTTAAGTTTAGGGTGTAGACTTTAGGCTTTTGTTTGCAGGGCTGAACCCTGGACCCTAAACCCCGACATCCCTAAACCCTCAAGACCCCTCAACCCCAAAACCCCCAAACCCCCAAACCCCTAAACCTGTAAACCCCCTAAACCCCCAAACCCCCCAAAACCCCTAAACCCCCCTAAACCTCCCAAACCCCCAGACCCCCTAAACCCCCCTAAACCCCCCAAGACCCCCAAGACCGAGCTTCCCAGGACGATGTCCAGCATCTCAAAGCGCCCAGAGCTGCAGCGCCGCGAGGCCGAGAGTGTGCGGTTGGAGTGCGGCTTCACTCGGACCTTACACGGGGGGCGCAGAGGGGCCTTAAGGTTTCCTTAAAGGGGCTTAAGGCTTAAGGGGCCTTAAGGGGCCTTAAGGGGCCTTAAGGGGCCTTAAGGGGCCTTAAGGGGCCTTAAGGGGGTTGCACGAAGTTTCCTTAAAGGGGCTTAAGGGGCCTTAAGGGGCTTCAGGGCGGTTTCCTTAAAGGGGCTTAAGGGGCTTTCTTAAGGGCCTCAAGGGGGTTTGCTTCAGGAGGGGCTTTCTTGAGGGCTTTCTTAAGGGGCCTTGAGGGGGAGTGGATTTCCTTAAAGGGGCTTAAGGGCTTTCTTAAGGGGCTTAAGGGGCTCAAGCGCTTAAGAGGCCTAGCGGTTGAAGGGTTTCCATAAACGCCCAGAAAGCCTGAAGATCCCAACCCATTGACCCCAAACCAGGGCGAGCGGCGGTCGCAATGGGCGTGTCGTCCGGCAGGGCCACCATGAAGTAGTCGAACCACTGCTGGTCCACCTGGGGTCCTCGAGGGCTGGTTGTTAGGGCTGAAGCACCCTAAACTTCAGGGTTCAGGGTTTAGGGTTTACGGTGTACGCCAAACCCTGAACTCTAAGCCCTAAACCCTAAACCCTAAACTCGAAACCCTGAGCCTTAAACCCTAAACCCTGAGAGCTGCTTGCTTGGGCAACAAGGCGGACTTTTTTCTCAGACGACCAGATATATGGGGGTTTACGAAAATAAGGGACCCCGAATATAGGCCCCCAAATAGTAGGACTCCCTTATAATAAGGACCCCAATAAGGTACCCCTAAACCCTAAACCCTAAACCCTAAACCCTAAACCCTAAACCCTAAACCCTAAACCCTAAACCCCCATAAGGACCACAATAAGGTACCCCATATTAAGATCGCAGTGCTGAAGGCTAGCTCAACCACCCTGAGGCTTGACATCCAGGTGTTGGGCTTCGAGTCAGAAGGTCTAGGGTTTAGGGTTTAGGGTTTAGGGTTTAGGGTTTAGGGTTTAGGGTTTAGGGTCTAGGGTCTTGGGTTTGGGGGTGAGGGTTTAGGGTTTGGGGTATAGTGTTTGGGGTTTGGGGTTTGGGGTTTAGGGCATAGTGTTTGGGGTTTGGGGGCTTGGGGTTTGGGGTTTAGGGTCCTGGTTTGAGGTTTGAAGGTTTGGGATTTGGGTCTAAGGTTTCGGGTTCAAGGTTCAGGGATTTCCCAACTCAAATGCCACAAGCACCACAAGAATCACAGGCTGAAGCAGCAAAACAGCCCGGCCCTTCAGCATGAACTCCGGGTCCTGGGAAGACGCTTCCGTAGAGGCGCAGGTCCTCGGCTTTCTCAGATTCTCACTGCTTTGCTGAAAGGAACCTTAAACTAAGTTGCGAACGTACAGTGACAAAAGGATTCAGCGTTAAACTCCGGTTCCACAAAGCAACACGGAACTAGTGTGAATATAAAAGCTCTCCGTATGCTGGCGAAGCTTGAACTTCTTCTTGCCCTTTCTTCCGCTGAGGCGAAGGACCGTACTTGGAGGTTCAGGGTTTTTCGGGGTTTACGCGCGGGTCTCGGAACGTATGATGTATAGTTTATGGCTTGACTAGGGTTGAAAGCGGGGCTTCCTCGAGCCATGACCGATCATAGGATGTGAGCCACTACAAGCTACGACCATCTTCGTCTCACTTGCAGGGCTTAGGCCGTAGGGTTCATTTGGGGGTTACCTTGGGCCCTCAAGGTTGTGCCCTTGGGTTTGGGGGACCCTTTTGAAAGATCCTTAAGGTAGTATAAGGGCCATATTGGGAGTATACGGGTGAGAGTCTTAATCCCATGAGTTTAGAGTTCCATGCACTAAACCCTAAACCCTAAACCCTAAACCCTAAACCCTAAATCACGCCCCAGGCACCGGCGTGGCCAGCAAGAGCAGCTCTTCGCGCAGTGGGAGCCAAAACTTCCATCTCTTCCCACCTCGCTCATGTGAACTAGGTTTAGGGTTTAGGGTTTAGGGTTTAGGGTTTAGGGTTTAGGGTTTAGGGTTTTAGGGTTTAGGGTTTAGGGTTTAGGGTTTAGGGTTTAGGGTTTAGGGTTTAGGGTTTAGGGTTTAGGGTTTAGGGTTTAGGGTTTATGTTTTAGGGTTTAGGGTTTAGGGTTTAGGGTTTAGGGTTTAGGGTTTAGGGTTTAGGGTTTAGGGTTTAGGGTTTAGGGTTTAGGGGTTAATATTTCTTGTACCCCCAAAAGAACACCCGGTATATACACTCACCGATATTAAAAACGGAAGCTTATAGACACTCACCAAAAACAGAGATATGAACCCTGCTTCACGTGCATCCCAGCTTCTAGGCTCTAGACCTGCCCCAAAAAAACCCAAGACCCTTAGTTAAGGAACAGACCTTAGTGGATGAAGGGATCCTTAATGTGAGTTAAGGAATAGACCTTAATTGATCAAGGGATCCTTAATGTGATTTAAGGAATTTTCTTTAATTAAGGGGTCTTGGGCTCGTTGGGTCACACCCCTGAACCAGATCAACACTAGACTCTTCGGACAGCCGGACCAGACCACTACCCTAGACTCACCGACCTCCTGCGCGCCCTGACTACTATTTGCGCTAGAACCCCCAAAAGATTTAAAAAAATGATAATAATAATAATAATAATAATAACAATAGTAATAATAAAACAATAATCCTATATTACCCTTAAAAGGAAGATTTTTTTTTGGGGGGGGGGGGGTTCTTAAGCAATTGGTAGATGAACCGAAAACAGTCCTCAGGTCGAGACCCTGACACTCCCAGAGTCAAAACTTCGGCACCCACCCTACGACATGCTGTATGCTACCTAATATTTGCACATGCATGCGATACATGTCGTATACATACATACACGAACACATATGAATATGGGTGGTTGTCAAAATTAGGATCCCTTCTTGGGGGTACCCTAGATATTAGGTGCCGTAATTTGAACAGGGACCCAAAAGGAGAGACCATAATTTGACCACCACCCAGATACTCTGAGTATCATCGAACAGACTCTACGGGCTTCGGAGTCAAGGCTCTTGCTTCGGGATCACATGAGCTGAGACGTTAAACTGAAGTCCGACCATTAGATAACCCTCCCCCCCCCCCCGCCCCCAATGACCGGGGTCACCCTAATTAAACCCTAAACCCTAAACCCTAAACCCCAAACCCTAAACCCTAAACCCTACTTAGAGCCTCTTCCTGAGCCGTGAAGTCAGGGTTCAGGGGTTGAAGGGGGCAGGGTGAGGGGGTGCCGCCTGGCTGTCATGGCGCAGGTGCTGAAGAAAAAGTTTTGGGGTTTAGGGTTTAGGGTTTCAGGGTTAAGGGTTTAGGGTTTAGGGTTTAGGGTTTAGGGTTTAGGGTTTAGGGTTTAGGGCTTAGGGTTTAGGGTTTAGGGAGGCATCCCCTAAGCCAGGATACCCGAACAAACCCCTCAAACCTTAACCTCAATCGGAGCAAGGATGGGGAGGGGGGGGGAGCTGCCGGGCTTAGGGATAAAGGCCAGAAAGGTTCAGGGTACCAAGCCGAGGGCTTCCCGAATCAGCCTAAATCCCAGGCCTCTCCATTGTGCTTCATGGAGCTTGGGGCTTCGGGCTTAGGGGTCTAGGGCATAAAGTTTATAAGGTTTCAGGCTAGGGGCAACCCGGCACCACCAAAAAAAGTGCCCAAAATCCCCAAACCCTGAAGCCCAAGTCCTAAGACCCTCTAAACCCTAAACCCTAAACCCCCCTTAACCCTAAACCCTCAACCCAAAACCCTAAACCCTAACCCCTACATCGCCCTTAGGCAGTGCCCCCCGAGAAGCCGAAGTAGGTGACAGGGTCGCCCCCGGTGAAGGAGTGCGCAGGCCCGTAGTTTACGATGCTGGCCCCTTGCGGATTAGGGTTTTAGGGTTGAGGGTTTGGGGTTTAGGGTTTAGGGTCTAGGGTTTAGGGTTTAGGGTTTAGGGTTTAGAGTTCCGGGTTTAGGGTTTAGGGTTGAGGGTTGAGGGGGTTTAGGGGGTTTAGGGGATTTAGGGGGGTTTAGGGGGCTTTAGGGGGTTTAGGGGGTTTAGGGGGTTTAGGGGGTTTAGGGGGTTTAGGGGGTTTAGGGGGTTAGGGGGGTTTAGGGGGGTTAGGGTTTAGGGTTGAGGGCTTAGGGTTTAGGGTTTGGGGTTTAGGGGTTTAGGGGTTTAGAGTTAACGGGGGGTTTAATGTTGAGGGTTTAGGAGGCTCAATGGGGTCTAGGGGCTTGGGTAGTCAAGACTCGTAGACTTAGACTTGGGGAGCTTTGGGGGGGGGGGGGGGGGGGGGGTTAGGGGTTGCGGGAGGGCTACCGACTAGTGGGCGTTTGTCCCGTTTCGCTTGCTCACCAAGCGTTCCAAGACCACAACTCCCCCCCGAAATGAACCCAAGCCCCGCAAACGCCCTAAAACCCCTCTAGGTCCCCCCTAAAGCCCCAAAAAGCCCCATAAAACCCCCGAAAGCCTAGACCCGTACACGGTTTCAGGTCTTCCCTTCTTGAGGACCCCTAAACCCTAAACCCTAAACCCTAAACCCTAAACCCTAAACCCTAAACCCTAAACCCTTACTCGGTGCGGGCTTCCCGAATCTGCACTGCCTGACAGGCCCCCGAAGCGGAGCCCTATCGGCAAACCCCCTAAACCCTAAACCCTAAACCCTAGACCCTAAACCCTAAACCCTAACCCCTAAACCCCGGAACTCTAAACACTTAACCCCTTCAAACCCTTCAACCCTTTCTACCCTTATATAAACCCCCTAAAGAACCCGAAAACCCTTAAAACCTGAAACCCTGAAACCCTCTAAACCCTTAAACCCCCCAAGTTAGGGTTCTTGACCCCAGAAATCCGAAACTTGGCGCCTGGGCCGTAGGCATTCTCAAGCGGCGGGGAGATCTTGGAGTTCGCGGGGGGGCAAAAGGCGGTCCAGGGCTTTATGGGGTTTCGGGTTTAGGATTTAGGGTTTTGGGTTTGGGGGTTTAGGGTTTAGGGTTTAGGGTTTAGGGTTTAGGGTTTAGGGTTTAGGGTTTGGGGTTTGGGGTTTAGGGTTTAGGGTTTAGGGTTTAGGGTTTAGGGTTTAGGGTTTAGGGTTTAGGGTTTAGGCAGAATCTAAGTGTTCAGGAGGGCAGGGTTCTTGGTTTCAGACTAGTCCCTAAACCCTGAACCCTAAACCTGAGAGCCGGGATTTTCGAGGGTTTTGGGGAGCTTCGCTCTATTGGAGGCTAGGAGTTCTTTGGGATCACCACCCAACCCTAATCCCTAATCCCTAATCCCTGAACCCTAAACCCTAAACCCTAAACCCACAGAGATTAAAGATTCAGGGTTGAGGGTTGAGGGTTTCGCGTTTCGGGATTAGCTATGGACTCTGCCCCCCCACACCCTAAACCCCTAACCCCTAAACCCGAAACCCTAAACCCTAAACCCTAAACCCTATTAGATCTTCCGTTTTTGAGACACAAGGAATATGGATCCTGTGCTCGGAGATTAGGGGTTGCGAACGCGGGGACGTTAGGAGCTCCTGCCTTCCGACATCCGAAATGGCAGTTTACGAAAGTAGGGGACCCTTTTGTAGAAGCCAAAAAAGTTGGAAACTCAATAGCCCCAATCCCTAGGAGTAAAGCGTAGGGAATCCCAGCACTATTTGTCCTTCAAAAGGTTTCCAACTTTTTGGGGTGTACGAAAATACAGACCCCCAAACACGAGGACCGCCTTATAGTAAGGACCAGAGGGTACCCCTAATACCTGGCAGGAAACCAACAGCATTGCTTGGGTTTGGGCTTTAGGCTTTAGGCCTTAGGGTCTTAGAGCCTTAGGGCCTTAAGGCCTCAGGGCTTAGGGCCTTAGGGCCTTAGGGTCTTAGGGCCTTAGGGCCTTAGGGCCTTGGGGCCTTGGGGCCTTGGGGCCTTGGGGCCTTGGGGCCTTGGGGCCTTGGGGCCTAGGGCTTAGGGTTTAAGGTTTAGGGTTTAGGGCTTAGGCTGGATCTAAGATTTGAGGGATAGGGAGCTTCGGGCAGCTCAACCCAAGTCTGGCTTGCTGCGCAGGCGCCGTGAACGTGACGTAGGTCGCCAGGCGCCTGGGCCACAGGGTTCCCACAGTCTGGAGGGTTTAAGGTTTAGGGCTTAGGGTGTAGGGTGTAGGGTGTAGGGTTTAGGGTTTAGGTTTTAGGGTTTTAGGGTTTAGGGTTTAGGGTTTAGGGTTTAGGGTAGTTCCACATGCCACTGCAAGAGTGCGCCCCCCAAAGTTGGGCGAAGTCGATGCCCAAACTGATGAACCCCCACCCCACCCCCCCACCCCAAAAAAAACAAAAACAAACAAACACTCCAGGAGGTAGTATGCCCGTGCCCTAAAACCTGATCCCACAACCCTGAAACCGTGAACCCTAGAAGCCTACGTCCTATATCCCTGCAACTCTAAACCGTAAACCCCCAAACCCTAAACCCTGAACCCTAAACCCTTAACCCTAAACCCTAGACCCCAAACCCTAAACCCTAAACGCTAGAACCCTAAGCTCTAGTCCGCAATGAAGGGGTCTTAGCCAGTCAGGGGTGGAGAGCTATCAATGACTGGCTTCCTGCCTCACGCTCGCGCTTCCGAAGGCCGTGATTTCGACCTCCGAGCTCAGGACGTTTTGGGGGTTTAGGGATTTAGGGCTCCCAGGTTTAGGGTTTAGGGTTTACGGTTTAGGGTTTAGGGTTTAGGGTCTAGGGTTTAGGGTTTAGGGTTTAGGGTTTAGGGTGTAGGGTTTAGGGTTTAGGGTTTAGGGATTTAGGGCTCCCAGGTTTCGGGTCTCAGGATGCAGGGGTTCGCGTTCCAGCGGTTTAGGGCCCAGGGCTCCCAGGTTTAGGGACGAGGCTCCCGGGGTTGGGGAACCCTAAACCCTAAACCCTAAACCCTAAACCCTAAACCCTAAACCCTAAACCCTAAACCCTAAACCCTAAACCCTAAACGTAAACCCTAAAATGGCTCCCAGAAGAGCACTCTCAGCGCCGACCGGCCAGGCCAGAAGAGGCGGGAAGGCGGCAAACGTCGTGGCCGAAGTTTCGTTTCTGACCCCTTTAGGCTCAGACGTGTCCACGTGCATGTGCCCTGAAACCATAAACCCTGGAGCCCAAGGCCCTGAACCTTATACCCCTTGCAGGCGCGCAAGGAGAGACGACGCAAGGCCGCCTGTGGCTGCGTGATGCCTTCTTCGTCAAACTCTTCTTGTCCTTCATGCCCTGATTGTGCGCACTCCGGTTTTGGACCGCCTGCGGTACACGGTATACTCGGTCTCCGGCGGTGTCCGGGTTGCACGCGGGGGAAACAGGTAGTACGCTAACCCTTCTGAACCCGAAACATCCCTAAACCCTCAAACCCTAAAACCCCTAAAACCCCTAAAACCCTAAAACCCTAAAACCCTAAAACCCCAAAAACCGTAAAACCCCTAAAACCCCTAAAACCCCTAAAACCCCTCAAACCCTAAAACCCCTAAACCCCTAAAACCCTAGAGCCCTAAGGCCTTAAACCCTGGAACCGATTCATACCCTGAACCCCCCCCGCCAATCCCCTTGAAGCTCAGGCCTTGGCGTCTCAAGCTCCCGAAGCCCTACAGCAACACCTCCAAAGCCGAAACCCTAAAACCCCTAAACCCTAAAACCCTAAAACCCTAAAACCCCAAAAACCCTAAAACCCCAAAAACCCAAAAACCCCAAAACCCTAAAAACCCTATAAACCCTAAAAAACCCTGAAACACTAAAAGCCTAAACCCTAAACCCTACAGCCTGGATTGGTCCAGGTTGAGCCACAGGGTTTTAAGGCCCTCCAAGGAAAGGAAAAGGCATGGTTCCCCCCCCCTCCCCCCAGTATTGAGGGCTGCTGGGTCTGAGAGGCCTAAACCCTACACCCTAAACCCTAAACCCTAAAAACTAAAAACCCTAAACCCTAAACCCTAAACCCTAAATCCTAACCCTAAACCCTAAACCCTGAGAGGCCTTTGGGGGCCTTTGCAGACCAGGGCTTCGGTGGTGAACAGGTTGGGGGGGGGGGGGGAGGCGGCAGTCTCTCTGGACTTTGAAGTAGCTAAGGGGCAAAAAAAGAATTAGACTTTTCTTTCAGAACGGTTCCCATAAGGAACAGGCAACAAACAAGTATTAAAGCATGGTACTCCAAACCCAGGCACTCTGGTGCAGCACTGAGGGGTCAGGGTAAAGGGTTTGGGGTTTAGGATTGGGGATGCTCCCCCTTATACTAACAGTCCTTCATAGGGATTCAAAGAGGGGGTACGAATATCCCTATTACCCTAAACGCTAAACCCTAAACCCTAAACCCCAAACCCTAAACCCTAAACCCTAAACCCTAAACCCCAAGGGACTGTTAGTATAAGGGGGACCCCGGGCTCCAGGGTTAGACAAGGGGGCAGAAGGGCAAGGCAGGCTGTTCACGAAAGTCAGGAGACGCACCCTAAACCCTAAACCCTAAATCCTAAACCCTAAACCCTAGAGGGCGTACTCTAATCCCTGTCAAGGACTGCTAGTACAAAGTCCCAAACCAACAGAGCTGAACCCGAAGCCAACCGCCGCTTGGCCACATATTCCGTGAACCTGGGCTGCCCATCACGTGTGATGCGGATGATGTCGCCGATGCTGAAGCCAGTGTTGGCGCTCACAATGAGCACCGTGTCGCCGGCGTAGACCTCACTCCAGGCGTTGCCAACGTTAGGGCCCATCTCGGGGTTTGTTTGCGGTTTAGGTTTCGGGCGCCAGTAGTAAGGCCTGGGATGGTGTTGGGGGTTTAGGATTGAGGGGAAGCTCGGGGACTATTTCATTACTTTTAATCCTGAGCCCCCTGAGCACGTTATCTTCATTTTGCCGGATTTATCATGCATGATCGCGGGCCGACACAAGCCCTAATAAATGAGAATGAACTGATGACCAAAAGAACTTGATTATTAAGGCTTATGTGTGCTGTAAACGCATGTAGTCCGTAAATGTCAGAATCTCATCTGGCTTGGTGGGCGGTTCTGTGTCTGCTCTTATTTCGTATAACCACCCATACGCTTTGCAGTAGTATGAAAGTGGATTCGTCGGCTCACTAGTTGTTGAAAGGTGCACGAAATCAACAAGTCTTTGGCCTTCGTGCTGGGTCACTTCGCTTTCTTGGGCCGTCCGCTCTCTCCAACGAAAGGTGCGTGCACGAAGTCCCTGAAGGACTCAAAGACCCCTTTCTTATTCTTAAGGATCCGGAAGCTCGTGAGGGAAGGTAACAAGAGCATGAAGAGAGGAGAGTGCGAAGGGGAGACCGTAGCACCTCAGGGTTTAGGGTTTAGGGTTTAGGGTTTAGGGTTTAGGGTTTAGGGTTTAGGGTTTAGGGTTTAGGGTTTAGGGTTTAGGGTTAGAACTCCAAACCCAGGGCAACCACGCAACAAGTTGGGCAAGCCCACCCCTGCAACGCCCCGTGAACCCTAAGCCCCCGAAACCCCATAAAGCCTTAGCAAGTCCCATAAAGCCTTGGCTAACCCCAGAAGGCCCTAAACACCCGAAAAAAACCCCAAAATCCCTGAACCCGGGAAACCCGAAAAAACCCTCAAAAACCCTAGAGACCCCAAAAACCCTAAAAAACCCTAAAACCCGAAAAAAAACCCTAAACACCCTAAAAAACCCTAAAGACCCTACAAACCCTCAACTCTGAACCCGAAACAAACCCATCACCGGCCTGTTGGACGAGTGAGGTGGTCATTCCAGTGGTGGTCGTCATCGTTGTTGACGTGAAGGTGAAGGACGTGGAGGTTTGTGTCGTCACCGTCTCCTCGGAGAGCTCAAGAGCTCAAAAGGGTTTAGGGTTTAGGGTTTAGGGTTGAGGGTTTAGGGTTTAGGGTTTAGGGTTTAGGGTTTAGGGTTTAGGGTTTAGGGTTTAGGGTTTAGGGTTTAGGGTTTAGGGTTTAGGGTTCAGGGTTCAGGGTTTAGGGTTTAGGGTTTAGGGTTTAGGGTTTAGGTTTAGGGCTTAGGGCTTAGGGCTTAGGGCTTAGGGCTTAGGGTTGAAGGTTGAGGGTTGAGGGTTGAGGGTTGAGGGTTGAGGGTTGAGGGCTGAGGGTTGAGGGTTGAGGGTTTTGAGGGTCGCTACCGTCTCCTAGGAGAGCCTGGCAGGCCGCATTCACAAATCGCAGGCACCAAGCCCGAAATGGGAACCCTCCACCCTCAACCCGAAAACCCTCCACCCTCAACCCTGAAACCATAAAACCCTAAAACCCAAAAACCCAAAAATCCTAAAACCCTAAAACCCTAAAAGCCCTAAACCCTAAAAACCCCAAAAGCCCTAAACCCCAAAGCCCTAAAACCCTAAAACCCTAAACAAAACCCGAAACCCCAAACTCCAACCCTAAACCCCTCAACCCCGAGGCTTTGCAGGGCTATGCCCAAGACCAGGCAAAAGGTGGCTCCAGCCGTCTTGACTAACTCCTTTTCATGTAGGGTTTAGGGTTTAGGGTTTAGGTTTAGGTTTAGGGTTCAGGGTTCAGGGTTTAGGGTTTGGGGTTTAGGGTTTAGGGCCTATGCAACCATTTACGGGACAACAAGGGCCACACTGAGCCTAAACCCCAAAAAACTCGAAACAACCCTCAACCTTGCAACCTAAAGAACCCTAAACCTTTGCAAAGACTGCTTGCAGACTTACAACCAACTACTGGTAGTAGCAGTTGAGGCGTAACAGAACCCTAAACCCTAAACCCTAAACCCTAAACCCTAAACCCTAAACCCTAAACCCTAAACCCTAAACCCTAAACAGTTGAGGGCACATGCCCCTGGCCTGTTCCCCAAAACTCTGCACCTTTTCGGGGGGAAGACCTCCCTTGTGAGGGCTGCTCAGATCTGAGGTTCAGGGATTAGGGTTTAGGGTTTAGGGTTTAGGGTTTAGGGTTTAGGGTTTAGGGTTTAGGGGTGAGGGAAGCCCTGCAGACCTCGAAGGCCTGAAGAAACTGCTGCCGGGTCTCGCTTGTCGTCGTCTGCCTTGAAAACGTGCAGCTTTCGCACTCTGCTCTGTCTTGCTGTTTAGGGTTTAGGGTTTAGGGTTTAGGGTGTAGGGTGTAGGGTTTAGGGTTTAGGGTTTAGGGTTTAGGGTTTGATCCGAGCCTAGCTCATCGTAAGCAAGGTGTGCAGACTAGGCCACGGAATATCTACGGCATGCGATGTTTTCGGTATCCATGCTTGTCCAGCACCCCTTCTAGCGTTAGGATCCTTGCGATTGACATCTTAAACGTACTCAAGCTGGGCATGAATCGGGGACGTCCGCATCTGCAGACAAACCAGGGTGGTCAGAATGATAGAAACCGCTCTGAGCGCAACACGTGGTGACGGTAGAGGTTGTTGTCAAGAAGGATGTGGTGGTTTCCGTCGAGGACGTCATGGTCGCGGTCGTGGTCGTTATGGTGGTTGTCGTCCTTCCCGAAAAACCCTAAACCCTAAGCCCTAAGCCCTAAACCCTAAACCCTAAACCCTAAACCCTAGACGTCCTCGTTGTGCTCATGGTTGAACTGAGCGACGTGGACGTCGCCGTGGTTGTCATAGTGGAGGAAGTGGACGTCGTCACCTGGTTGGCCCCTTTAAACCTTTTGAGAAGTATTTATATGTAGGCCTTTAGTAAAGAAAATATGGAAAATATCCCTAAACCTAAACCCTAAACCCTAAACCCTAAACCCTAAACCCTAAACCCTAAACCCTAAACCCTAAACCCTAAACCCTAAACCCCAACCAAGTCTCTGTCTGACTGGTGGATGTCGCCGTGGAGGACGTGCTCGTGGTCTGCGTGATGGTCGACGTGGTGGTCGTAGGAACTTCACAGACCACCTCGGGGTCCTCGCCAACCCCGACGCAGCAGCAGAGACCTCGAGTTTAGGGTTTAGGGTTTAGGGTTTAGGGTTTAGGGTTTAGGGTTTAGGGTTTAGGGTTTAGGGTTTAGGGTTTAGGGTTTAGGGTTAGGGTCACAAACTGAGTTTCACGGTTGTTGTTTTGTGGGTTCACACCCGAAGGAGCTGAGCCTTTGGGACTCTCTTACTTCTCCAACCATTAACCAAAGGAAAAAAGGTTAAGCTTCATTATTCCTACTAGAACAAGGAAAGCCAACAAGTTTGAAGTCCAGTCAAACCCCAAACCCCAAACCCTAAACCCTAAACCCTAAACCCTAAACCCTAAACCCCAAACCCTAAGCCGGTTCTTAAGGAGGATGGTGGCGATGCGGGCTCAGGCCACAGAGTTTCGGCTTTCGGGTTTGGGCAGCAACATGGTTGCAGGCCGGGGCTCGCTCCGAGTGAGTCTCACCTGCAGCTTAGGGTTTAGGGTTTAGGGTTTAGGGTTTAGGGTTTAGGGTTTAGGGTTTAGGGTTTAGGGTTTAGGGTTTAGGGTTTAGGGTTTAGGGTTTAGGGGGGTTTAGGGTTTAGGGGTTTAGGGTTGGGGTTTTGGGGTTTAGGGTTTAGGGTTTGGGGTTGGGGTTTGGGTTTGGGGTTTGGGTTGGGGTTTAGGGTTTAGGGTTTAGGTTAGGGTCTAGGGTTTAGGGTTTAGGGTTTAGGGATTAGGGTTAGGGTTTAGGTTTTTTTTTTTTTTTTTGGGGGGGGGGGGGGGGGGCTTCTCCAAGAAAGTTGCTCTCGAGACCGACGCTCAAGCAGGCCCACTTCTGGGGGGTGGGTGGGGTGTTCTTCAAGCTGATCCAAGTGATGTTGGGATGCGGGCCAACGTTTGTGAGTTGCAGGCTTAGGGGGTTTTTCACACGAACGCTAAAGCATGATATCAGGGCCCCATCATATCCTTGGATATGAATAGGTGGAGCCCTTACTCAAGGTTTAGGGCAAGTAAGGCCCTAACCCTAACCCTAAACCCTAAACCCTAAACCCTTGCAACCCTGTTGGAAGTTTGAGCCTCGGGGTGTGGCGTTCTATGGCTTGAGACCTTCAGGGAATCACCTCCTCAGAAGGTCAGAAAACTAGACAATTCCTCAAGGTGTTTTGGGTTTAGGGTTTAGGGTTTAGAGTTTAGGGTTTAGGGTCAGAAAACTCTACAAGGAGTTTTACGGCCAAGGTCTCCCGAAACACCAAGAAACCTCGGCAAAGAATAGACTCGGAGGGAGGGCTCAAAGCCGTTATTGTGAACCTGGAACCCTAGCAAAAAGTTGCAATTTTTGCTGTTTCTTAGGAATTCGAGTACCCAAAAAATGAAAAAAGTTTGGGTTCTGCTTCTGTTTAGCATTGAAGGGGGCTTAGCCTGCTTTAGGATAACTCTCCAGACCTCAGTAAGACTTAAGCCCTAAACCCTAAACCCTAAACCCTAAACCCTAAACCCTAAACCCTAAGCCTCCCAGCACTTAAATTGCCGAGTTCGGCTTTGAACCTCGAGAGAACCTGAAGGGCCCAATCCCCCTTCAATAAGGAAGATACCTTCACTTCTAAACCCCTAAACCCCTAAACCCCTAAACCCCTAAACCCCTAAACCCCTAAACCCCTAAATTAAGCAATATACCTTCACTTATCAAGGGATCCTCAAATGTGATTTAAGGTACATTCCTTCATTAAGGAATATACCTTTCAGGGCACAGTACCCCTTAATTAGGGCATATACCTTTAAGGTATACTCCTTCGTTAAGGGGTTTAGGGGTTTCGGGGTTTAGGGGTTTAGGGGTTTAGGGGTTTAGGGGTTTAGGGGTTTAGGCTTTAGGGGTATCGGGCTCTTTGGGAACAACCTTCTGCCACAGGCGCTCGCGTTACATTCACTCTGCGAGCCGTCGGAGAGGCAAGCTCGGCCTGGCAAGGGTTTGGGGTTTGGGGTTTGGGGTATGGGGTTTGGGGTTTGGGGTTTAGGGTTGAGGGTTTAGGGTTTAGGGTAGAGGGTTTAGGGTTTAGGTTTAGGGTTTAGGGTTTAGGGTTTAGGGTCTAGGGTCTAGGGTTTAGGGTTTAGGGTTTAGGGTTTAGGGTTTGGGGTTTAGGGTTTAGGGTTACGGTTTAGGGTTTAGGGTTTAGGGTCTAGGTTTAGGGTTTATCGCTTCAGGGCTCTGTAGCACCCTGTGCACGCCTGGAGCGGTAGGACCCTAAACCCAAAACGCCTGTGTTTGGGGCAAGCTGCTGGGAACTATTTGGGGCAGAAGGAGTCCGATGTTTCGTCAGCTGGCTGATGCCACGAGGCTTCTACGACTTAAGTTTTCGTTGAAACAGGGTCTATATTACTGTTAAAAGTGAGTGTATGTCAGGTTCCTATTTCATACTGGTGAGTGTGTATACTGGGTGTCCTTTTGGGGATACAAGCAATATAGACCCAACTTCTAACAATAACTATGGGGTGTGGGATGGGGTGTGGGGTTTAAGTTCAGCGACCTCCCGGCATCATCAGTTCAGGAGCCCTGAGCCCCTTCATCCCAATCATCCCTGGGTTTAGGGTTTAGGGTTTAGGGTTTAGGGTTTGGGGTTTAGGGTTTAGGGTTTAGGGTTTAGGGTTTAGGGTTTAGGGTTTAGGGTTTAGGGTTTAGGGTTTAGGGTTTAGGGTTTAGGGTTTAGGGTTTAGGGTTTAGGGTTTAGGGTTTAGGGTTGTTGCGCTCTTTTTGGGAGGATGCCTTGAGCTCAACTCATTGAAAGCTTTGAGGCTTTGCGGTTGTGGGGTTCAAGCCTCGGGGCGCAAGGCTTAACACGCCCAAAACGCAGCTTACACACACACACACACACACAAGCCCGGCTCTTCTCCTCCCGTGCGCCTATGTAGAAATCATCTTGTGTGTAGAGCAGCATCTGTAGGGGCTCGCTCGTTACCTGACATGTCAGGCGAGTGCCGCGGTGCCTCTCCGTGATTCGGCCGCCCAAGTCTAGAAGAGCGAGGGTTAGACCCTAAACCCTAAACCCTAAACCCTAAACCCCAAACCCTAAACCCTAAACCCTAAACCTAAACCCTTAACCCTAAACCCTAAACCCTAAACCCTAAACCCTAAACCCAAACCCCTACGCTTCGTGCCGACACTCACAAGCCCCACGCAGGGAAAGCCTTTTTAGGCTCAAGGGCATGTCCACACACAGGGTTGTCCCTCACCTACCCTGAATAAACCCTACACCCTAAGCCAAGGTGCAAATGGAAGGTCTGGCGAGTAGTCGAAGTCACACTGGGTCAGGGAAAATGTAGTCAAAACCTGGGCGGCATGAGGGACTTAGGCTTCAGGGTTTGGGGTTCAGGGTTCAGGGTTCAGGGTTCAGGTTTAGGGTTTAGGGTTTAGGGTTTAGGGTTTGGGGTTTAGGGTTTAGGGTTTAGGGTTTAGGGTTTAAGGTGTAGGGTTTAGGGTTTAGGGTTTAGGGTTTAGGGTTTAGGGTTTAGGGTTTAGGGTTTAGGGTTTAGGGTTTAGGGTTTAGGGTTTAGGGTTTAGGGTTTAGGGTTTAGGGTTTAGGGTTTAGGGTTTAGGGGTCAGGTAGCTACAGGCAAGGCGCCCACGTCATCAGAGTTTCGGATGAAACCCTCCTCATCTGTGAGACTGTGCACGTCTTGCCAGCAGTCGTGCACACATCGTCGCAGGTTTGACCTGCATGAGCTGGCTAGGAGTTCAGGAAAGAGGAAAGCTCGGGAAGTAGGATCTCGCTTTCACGGCTTAAAGGAGGAAAGGCCAAGCCTGTCCGAGGCTGCAGGGCCACACTCTACACCCGAAACCATGCCAAACATTAGGGAAAAAAAGGTACCTCACATACTTACGAAGCCGAAACCGAAACGACGAATCGTCCGACCCTGAGCCTTACAAGCCCCTCGGCCCTGAAGCCTGAGCCCTCCAACCAGAAGCCCCTGAACCCCTGAAGAACCATGAACCCTGGAACCCTAAACCCTAAACCCTAAACCCTAAACCTGCCAAGGGCCCGGCCTGCAGATCCGAGTGTCCATGCATAAGCGGCCGGAATCACCGAGAACCTCGGCGAGGGAATCGGGCTCCTAGTTCTTGAGTACCACTGCCCCCAAAGAAAAAGGCTAACCTTTCACATATGGTAGGGTTCAGATACCCAAGAATTTTTAATGGTTATCTGCTCAGCTACTATGGGCTTAGTGCCTTCTGAGCTTTGGGGTTGAAAGTTTGAGGGGCTTCATTGCAGGTTTTTTTTGGGGGGGGGGGGGGACAGGCGTCGCAAACGGTTTTGCAAAGGGGCAACTGCCAGCCTCAAGAAGGGTACCCTAAACCCTAAACCCTGAACCCTAAACCCTAAACCCTGAAGAATACGGCGTATGAGGTTCAGTACTGGGGCGGGGCCTGTCGACCATGCATCCCCCACTTGCCATCGCACCGTGCAAGGCCAGTTCTTTTGGCAAATCAAGACAAGGCGCACGAGCAGCCATTGCGCAAAATGGGAGGCTCGAAGAACGGCCATGGCCATGATGACCACACGATGAAACAACGAAAGAAAGCTGCAAGTTGGAACTGAGGCTGGTATGTGTGAGCAACAGGCGTCCCGTCTGCCGGATGTTCCCAAGTTGTGTCGCGTCATTTTCCTTGTACATCCTTGAACAAATGGTTTCCACGGCGTTTGTAACGCAATGCCTTTCGCATGGTTTTTGACGTGTCGCCTGGCCGTCAAACATCAGTCGACCTGTTAAAGTTGGTCGGCGTTCCCAGATTGCATGGATGCCAAGGTTTGGCAATCACGCCAACATGAGTAATTATAAACATTTGTCACAAACACAAACGCTTGAGGATGGTGCCTACTCAGCATGTCTCATACACCTGCGTGAAACAAAGTGCTTACACAACCCATTTCTCTGACTTCTCAAAAGACCTTTGAGGCATACCAATACGTTCGTGCCAAACAGGTGGTTTGATCAAAACTTGCTGGTCTTTCGGCCTGCCTGGTACTGCTTGCCCGCTCGGTAGTTGCTCTTGAACACTCATAGGGTTTAGGGTTTAGGGTTTAGGGTTTAGGGTTTAGGGTGTAGGGTTGAGGGTTTAGGGTTGAGGGTTGAGGGTTGAGGGTTGAGGGTCTAGGGTTCCCGTATCCACGTGGCTTCTTTAACCTGCTCGCGGCTGCATCTCGAACAGCACCCTTGGAAGAGCGTGCCTCTAAGACTCTAAGCATTCACTGACAACTTTTGGCGCCAACTTCAATGAGGGGAGGGTGTGGGTGCCCGGCAGTACCCACCCACCATCATGCATTTCCTCGCTTTAAGATGGCTCGGCTGGGCGTTTTGGGGGGGGTGTTTTAGGGCAGGCTGGTTTTGCTAAGCTTCCTCGATCTTCCTCGCCTTTCCCAATATTGTCTTTTGACCTTTGGCCATCACTGATTGGCAACGGGCAGCTTGCGACTGAGCATTGTGTATGTGCAGCACTCAAGCAGGAAGCGGTTCGACCTCCAACTCATGCAACACCTAGGCTTTAAGGAGAGACAACTTCACTGGTAGGCACATTCGTTTTCCTACCCCCTAAACCCTAAACCCTAAACCCTAAGCCCTAAGCCCTAAACCCTAAGCCCTAAACCCTAAACCCTAAACCCTAAACCCTAAACCCTAAACGTGAACGAAGGCCTCTGGTCACCTCTTCAGTGGACAAGAGCACCATGCTGCACCCCTAGTGCCCCAGTACAGCATGTTCAATCACACCCGCTTCCATGCCTGCTTCGCGCCGTGTACCCATATGATATACGGGTTTAGGGACTCGGGTTTAGGGTTTAGGGTTTGGGGTTTAGGGTTGGGGGTTTCGGGTTTAGGGTTTAGGGTTTAGGGCATTTTCCGTCTCATGAACCCAGCGGATTTCAACTTCCGATGCCGAGAAATTGTCCGTCAATTTGGCGGAACTCATCTGGCCCCCATGCGCGCCGGTCTTCGTGCTTCAATCTTTCACGAAGCCTAGAGGCCACTACATCTTTTTGGACACGAATGTGCAAAACGAACACATCGAATTCGTAACGTTTAGAGCAATCATGAATACTTAACCTGATCTGTGCTCAGCCACAAACTGAACTGTCAAGCGTGGCATATGCAATTTGTCGCCTTTGCAAATTTGCGATACGAACTGCGGTTGTACATGAGAGAAAGAACGAGCACCCCTCAAAATGACACAACACAAACACCTCACATTGTCGGCAGTGGTTGCACCCGTTTTGCTTTCTTTTGCCGCTTTCAGCTGCGAAGTCGCCGGACGGTGGTGTTCCAGGAGGGTGAAGATGCTGCTGGCAGGGGCTGCGGAGCCCACGCAAGCGCGTGACCTCGGAACTGCTAGTGGCTAGCAGGGGGCACAAGGCCGATGCAGCACTCTAACATGTTCTAACCATACCTCTCGCTGCACCCCATACCCTGAGCCGGCGGACTGTAGCTTGATGTAGGTGCAAGAACTCGGGCCACTGGCAGATGGTGCACCACCACTGAAGGTTGGGGACTTTGAAGCGGCGGCCCCATGATGTGCACCGACTTGGTGACACCGACCGGCGTCACGCGGGTCTGCGGCACCTGCCAGGATTCGGGGGAGGCTCCGAAACCGACAGCATGACTCTAGTTGGCCCCAAGTCGCCTGTGCAGTCCTCGCCGGGTAAGGGCAAGGCATGAACTTTGGAGGCAGATGATTGACCACGACCGGTCGTCGTAGAGGCACCGGCGGCGCCGCAGGCATGGCCACAGCAGCTGCCATTGGCGTTGCCACTTCTGTGGCCTGCGCCTGCGCAACCTGTGCTCGGATACAGCTTCCATGGAGGTGCATAAGAACTTCGAAGTAGGGTGATAGTGAAAGAAGGTAACGACCTAAAGGAAGTAGGGTATATATTTCTTGTACCCCCAAAAGGACACCCAGTATATACACTCACCAATATTAAAAAGGAACCTTATATACACTCACCAAAAACAGTCATATAAACCCTACTTCAGAGGACGGCCTGTCGGGCCGTTGAGATCGCGCTGCCCGTGAGAACGAAGGAGTGCCAAGACAGCCTGCCATGGTTTTAAGGGTTGAGGGTTGGGGGGGCTTAGGGGATTTATGGGGTTTACAGTTTACAGGATTTACAGGGTGTTACAGGTTTTGCAGGGTTTATAGGGCTTACAGGGTTTACAGGTTTGTTGGGTTGATGGGGTTTGTAGGGTTCAGGGTTGACGATTGAGGGTTTGGCTGTCTGTTTTCAGGGCTTTGGGTTTGGGTTCCGGGGTTTTAGGGTTGAAGGCTGCGGGAACCCCACCCCCTGCTCCTGGCTTGGAGACCTCTGTGCATACTGTTCGTCAAGTGCTGTACCGTCGAAAGAAAGAGAGACAGAGAGAGAGAGAGAGAGAGAGAGATGGAGGGAGAGACAGAAACCATTTGAATACATTTGGCACTCGCATAGGGCAAATTCCATTCTCTCACCAAAAGGGGGGGGAGGACTATTCAACGGACCTGGTGCCACGGCCCAGCACATGCGGTTGAGGGTTGAGGGCTTAGAGTTTAGGGCGCATGGTTTATCATTGGGACTTGGAGTGCATTCAAAAATCCCCGAAGTCCTGAGCAAACACCTAAGGAACCCTTTTTAGGCCCGAAACAAACCCCCTTTCAAAAGCCCTGGCCCTAGTAACCCTAAACCCTCAACCCAAACCCTCAACCCTAAACCCCAAACCCCAGACCCTAGCCCCCCAAACCCCAAACTTTAACCCTCAGCCCAGGCTCGTCCGCAGACTCCTGTGCTGCCGGGGGTGTGCTGTGTGGGGTCTCAATCAGGTCCTCCATGGGTTTTTTAAAGGGTTTCTATAGGGTAGAATGCGTAAGAGTCTCCAGCGGCACCAAGAGACACATGAGGCAAATGAAGCCTTGCACGTACTGCACCCCTAGATCCCTAGACTCCAGACAGTGCTCCTATACCTTGCTCCCAGAAGATTCTTGGCGTGCACTGCCATGCTCACATCTCAGCCCTGCACAACCAAAAAGCCCTAAAACCCCAAAAACCTACTTGATTTGGTGTCTAGGCGACGGGCTTCGTCTTTTCGGTCCGCGTTCGTGGGCCCCCCCCCCGCTCCCCCGCCCTTGGGTCTTTAAGGGCTTTTCAGTTTAGGGCCTTAGGGCTATACAGCTTACAAACCCGAAAAGCCCCAAACCCTAAACCCTAAGCCCTAAACCCTCACAAAGTCAGCGTCTGCCACCTCGTCAGGCTCCTCGTCTTCTTCTTCTTCTTCTTCTTCTTCTTCTTCTTCTTCTTCTTCTTCTTCTTCTTCTTCTTCTTCTTCTTCTTCTTCTTCTTCTTCTTCTTCTTCTTCTTCTTCTTCTTCTTCTTCTTCTTCTTCTTCTTCTTCTTCTTCTTCTTCTTCTTCTTCTTCTTCTTCTTCTTCTTCTTCTTCTTCTTCTTCTTCTTCTTCTTCTTCTTCTTCTTCTTCTTCTTCTTCTTCTTCTTCTTCTTCTTCTTCTTCTTCTTCGCCTTCTTCGATCGCTGTGAGGCGTGGAGCCTTCGAAATCGAAGCTTGGGAGAACTCAACGTTAGGGGGCCTTGGGTCTTTAAGGGCTTTTGGGTTTAGGACCTCAGGGCTATACAGCTTACAAACCCTAAAAACCCTAAACCCCAAACCCTAAACCCTAAGCCCTAAACCCTCACAAAGTCAGCGTCTGCCACCTCGTCAGGCTCCTCGTCTTCTTCTTCTTCGCCTTCCTCGATCGTTGTGAGGCGTGGAGCCTTCGAAATCGAAGCTTGGGAGAACTCAACGTTTAGGGGGCCTTGGGTCTTTAAGGGCTTTTGGGTTTAGGACCTTAGGGCTATACAGCTTACAAACCCTAAAAACCCTAAACCCTAAACCCCAAACCCTAAACCCTAAGCCCTAAACCCTCACAAAGTCAGCGTCTGCCACCTCGTCAGGCTCCTCGTCTTCCTCTTCTTCGCCTTCTTCGACCGCTGTGAGGCGTGGAGCCTTCGAAATCGAAGCTTGGGAGAACGCAGCGTTTAGGGGGCCTTGGGTCTTTAAGTGCTTTTGGGTTTAGGACCTCAGGGCTATACAGCTTACAAACCCTAAAAACCCTAAACCCTAAACCCCAAACCCTAAACCCTAAGCCCTAAACCCTCACAAAGTCAGCGTCTGCCAATTTGTCAGGCTCCTCGTCTTCTTCTTCTTCGCCTTCTTCGATCGCTGTGCGGCGTGGAGCCTTCGATATTGAAGCTTGGGAGAACTCAACGTTTAGGGGGCCTTGGGTCTTTAAGTGCTTTTGGGTTTAGGACCTTAGGGCTATACAGCTTGAGAGCTCTGACTCTGAGGGTTTTAAGCTTACGCCTCAAAAGAAAGGCTCAAGGTTCAGCTTCGGGCTCCTGATGACCATCATGCACCTCCCAAACCTAAACCCTTAAACGCCCTAAACCCTCGAAACCCCTAAAACCCCTCAAACATTCTCCATGCCCAACTTTTTCCCAGCCTCCTCCTGCTGGACTTCGCCTGCCTGACGGAA